AAGTGTGAATTATTTACATTTCCAAGTGATTTCCTTAAGTTTCCTACTTTGGGGAGGGTAAGCTGACTCGAGTTTTAATCACTTCAGAAGATCCACACTCCTGCTGGTGTGCTGGTGCAGAGGCAGCTCTGCTGCCCTTCCTTGGGGGAAGCTCCTGTTGTAACTCCTGCGTGTACCCGAGCACTTCCCCCAACAAGGACCCAGATCGTGTCACCAGTGATTAATTTAAACGGGAAGAGCTGGCAGCCAACTCATATGTGCCAATCCGCAAGTATGCATACTAAATTATGTGCTGGGGCCAAGGATGGTCGGGAATCTCACTTTCCCACGCTCCCAACATTGTCCTTCCTCCCTCTCTCCTCCCGGATCCTCTGCCACCACCTTGTGGTCGAAGTGGCATCTCACGGTCTCACCAGGCCAGATTTAAGTCATTTACACACACTGAAGCCAAAACACCTCCCCAGGCCTGAGCAGTGCTCCCAGGAACACACACCCAGGGAATGGTGAGAGGATGTGTTATGCCATCTAACCAGTAGCCAAGAGAAATCAAAGCAAACCAGGGGAGCAGAGCTGGAAGCTCTGTGCCTGTGGAAGCTCCCTCTGTGTCAGGCACAGCCTCCCCCTTCACCCCACATTCCCCAAAACACAGCTGGCATTGTAAAGCTTTGCACCCACCACTGCAGAACTCCAGGGTTGAGGCAAGCAGGTTGTGCCACTCCAGAAGGGGGATCCTGGTTGTCCTCACCACAGAAGAGGGATCCTGTGTCCTTCACAACCTGGCTGTGCACTCCTGTACTTGGGGAACGCTGTTACCATCACAGTCACACAACAGCTTGGGGTTTTCTTTGCAGGGTAAAAGGGTGGGGAGGGGATCATTTACCTAAAAGAATGAAATACCACAACCCAGGGCACAGATATGAGATTTCTGGACTGCAAACTCCCGGCTAATATTTGCAGTCACCTCATCCGGTTACTAAGCTCTTAACAAAGCAGAAAACTATGCCAAATCTTCGATCATGCCTATAGAGACAGTGATTTGATTTCAGCCTGCATTTAGGTTTCTGCCTCCTCTAATTTCCTTATTTCCCATTAACCTCAGTTAAAGCTGTAGAAATAATTCCATTCCTGTGCTTCTTCATCCAAGCCTGAGCATGTTCCTCCAAAATTAGGCCAAGCACAATAACTGCAAAAACTGTCATGTGGGTTGACCAGATGATCACAACTGTCTGCAGTCTTAATTATTTCCATGCAGGTGAGAAGAGAAAATCAGAAGCAGTTTTTGTCACCAAAGGAAACAGCTTAGCCCTTTTAAAAGCAGTCTTAAGGCTTTCTGCTACGGGGAGCAGCCTGTAGAGAACCACCACCATAACCTCATGCTTCAGCCATTAACACAAACACTAAGGCCTGAGCCTCTTGATCATCCTTTAAAAACACATTTTAGCCACCTCAAATCTTACTGCTGTAAGAACAAAGAAGCAAAATAACATGAACATTAAAACTCAAAGATAAATCAACCCCACCAAAAGCTCAAAACCCAAGTTCCACGTTTACCAGAAGAAGGGTTGATAAGCAAAGGTAAGTGACCAGCATCTGACTGACTGCATGGAAAGACTGAGCACAAAGGAGTCTGGAAATCTGAAGACTGCACACTAAAAAAAGATGATATTCAAAAGAGTCCCCTAAAAGATTCCTAACTTCTCATATCAATTTATCTTGTAGCTGGATTCTTCCCAAATCTATGGCTGAGCTCCTGCCTTGCCATGGCTGCATCATTTTTCTGTTAGCACAAATATCATGTCAGCATCAAGGAGCACTCAGGTGTTCATTAAGGAAGGAATTGGCTCTCTAAGTCATGGCTCAACAAGGCATGAATGCCATGTTTTAGTATCTAACCCTAATCTTTTTCATATTTCAGCTTTCTTTTTCATAAATAATAAAATCTCAAAAATTGTTTTGCTGACTGCTGTGCATCTCTGTTTCCTCTTCCATCAGAAAAAAGCATTTGATGATATCCTCACCAACAAAGCACCCGAGCTACTGAAAGATTTGGATACTTTCTTAGGGGATAAGAAGTGGCTGGTAGGGGATTCTGTAAGTATAATTTTTGTTTCTCCCATTCCCATCAGGTTGCCAGAAAAATCAAGTAATGGACTATTGCTGAGTTTCATGTCAGGTCATGAAGGAACTCTGCCCACACCTGAGCCCTTTATTCTTAACAATACAGAACTGGTCACTCAAATGCAAAGTGAAAATTGTCTTCCACAAAATTAGAAAAGTGATGCAAACCAGGACTAGGATCTGCATTTTCTAAAGCAAAAAATGCATTCTCATAACTATGTTGACACAAAACATTTTAAATGCCTTTGTACTTGTGAGCACAAATTCATGACTGCACAGAACCCTGTTTATCATCACAGACTAATTTATAAGGCAATACGAAAAAAAACTCTATATGAACACAGTACTCTTTTCACCCCAAATCTTCTCTGCAGCACAGTTTCAGCAGGAAAGACTAATATTGTAAGACAAGTTATATTTGTAGCCAGGACTTGATTTGAACCAATGGTTACTGAAGCCAAGCCTTGCATTGCAACCTAACTACTAGTCCTGTAATAATGGGCTATAAAAAAACCCTAACCCCAAAATGAAAACTTAAACCAGATAAATTCACAGTTTTTTGAGATTATCAGTAGTCCTGGCTTTTGAGATTACCAATTAAAATTGACTGTTTTCTGTCCCATTTCCACTAGGTAACGTGGGCTGATTTCTACTGGGATGTGTGCAGTACAACACTTCTATCCTGCAAGCCGGACCTGGCAGACAAATACCCCAGGCTTTTGGCTCTCAGGGAGAGAGTGCAAGCACTGCCAGCTATTGCAGCCTGGATCCAGAAGAGGCCGAAGAGCGTAATGTAGATCAGCTGCTCAGAGAAACAAATGCTTGCTTGGTTTTCAATATGACAAGCGTCCTAAGTTATTAACTTCTAAATCATTTAAATTAACTTCAGATGGCTATGCTATATCAAATCAAAATCTACCACTTGTATCCACTTGCAAGAGAATCTAAAATACTGATTTAGTAGAGTAATAAATATTGATTCACAGAAGTGTGGTTTCAGTCACATTCCCCCTCTACTAACACAGTGCTTGATCAAACCAATTTGTGTTTTGTGCACTCTCAATGGGAGAAAAGGTGAATGCACCTTCATGGGGAGGTGCAACCTCAACAACATTTTGCCAATTGCATTCTTTCCATCTGGAGGAAAGCAAGTTAAAAGGAGAGAGCAAATGCGTGGGACACTAAGCAAAAAAAAAAAAAAAAAGACCCACTTAGTCAATGAAATTCAAGGGTCTGAAAAAAAGTGTTTGAGAAGCTTGAGGTGTATGCTGTGCCCCTGAAAAAAACAAACAAAGACCTCCAAAACAAGCCAAAAAGCAGTTCACAGCTGAGCTGGTGCCCACACCAGCACCAGTTCTCCATAAACACACCAGCTGCAAAAACATTTAACAGCCCAGTATCTATGCCAATAAGTAGGAGACACGAACTGGGGGTCAGTGGTGGCAACCAGGTTTAGAACAAATGAAGGGTTTGCTCTTCCAGCACAGGAGAAAAGGCAGGTGGAAATCCTGGCAATGTGGACGGCTGTGGATGAAAGTGGTTTACACAAACTCAAGGGGACACAAGTGCTCGTGAGAGGTCTCCATTGTGTGGTGTAAGCAGATAAACCATAACAAACTTGGGCAACGCTCCATGCTGGAAATCACCACTGTTGGGAAAGTACTTCCCTTCACATTTACTTCCCCCTCCCACCTCAAGTGTTATTTCCTTGAATCATGACTGACACCAAACAACCCCTCAGAAAGACAACTCGGGTATTGTCAGAACAGAAAGAAACAACCTTTACTCATTCCCATCTTCACCTGCTTTGCAAACACTTGTGTGCTTTGGTCTGGCTCTTCATACATTTTTCCTTCTTTAGCTCCCAAAACTTGTCTCTTCTTCAGCATCTGACTTCAGGGAGTGGCTTTGTGTTCTTTCACCTCTGTACATCTTTCCCAATCAGAAAAACAGAACCATAGAGTAGTTGAAGGGACCTCTGGAGGCCACCCGGTCCAAGCAAGCCCCTGCTCACACAGAGCCAGCTGCCCAGGACTGCATCCAGTTAGTTCTGGGCTATCTCCAAGGATGTGGCCCTGCAATCTCTTGAGATCACAGATACAAACAGGAGAAACAGTTACAAGGAAGAAAGGCAGAAACATCTGAGTGCCGCAGCACCTAAAGACAGATACTGACCCCAGAGGCATCCAGTGCTCCTCCAGACTACATTAACTGATCCCATACACATCCAGAACACCACACAGCCCACCCTGAAGGGCAGGGATCTTGTTTCAACCCACACTTGAACTAAGCAAGTGAGAAAATGCAGGTAATAATAGGTAAAAGTTGGGTTAACGTCATGCTCAAGAGAAACACACAACCTAGTTAGCTGTAGCGTTAAACACCAGTGGTTCTCTGTTAAATCCCACTATTAACCTCAGCAGAACCAGTGAAATTAAAGAAGTACAGAAAACTGATTCTTACCCATATCCCTTCTCAAACAACACAGTACATCTTCACCTTGTTTCAGTTATGCATTTTGGAACAGACAGCACATCCACAGAACAATTCTAGGAAAAGCCAAGCAGTTTAGTCCACATTTGGAAAAAGTTTTGGAAAAGCTTTAATTTCCCACCCATTTTGAATTTGCAGAAATCACGTACAGTTGACCAGAATACCCACAGACTTGACCAAACCATTTGGCAGGAGTTCTGTTTTAACAATCAATATCCTCACACCACTGTAATTAGAGTATAATGACACACTGGTAATTAACTACTGCTGGACAAAGCCAAGTCAGTTCAATTGGAACATTCCAGCTGGTTTGAGAGCTGTCTAATTGATTTCTAACATGCACATTATCATCCCCTCACCTGCCCCAAATCACCACAACCACGAAAACATTTTGTCAGTCTATGGAATTTTATTGGAACAAGTTGATACAAAATCAGTACGGTACATCAAATGAACCAAAACAAGCAGAAACAGACTCGAGCATTGTCAAATAAGGCACATATAAAAAAATCTACACGCGGAATCCAGTGAAACAGACAGTTTATATATATATATATTTGGAGGTAGAAATAATTACAAAAATACTGACAAATCTTAAGCAGTAGCAGATTTGTTAAAACAATTACTAGGTCCCCATTTCAAAAGTGATCTGTAAAACCTTTATTCAGCATCTGAGGTTGGCACTTTTGGGCCATTTATGCTTTTTAAGCATTAAAAGAATGCTATTGGTGTTAAAATTTTTCAATACCATGAGCAATACAATAAACAAACTACAAAAAGTTATAAACGTTCATAAAACTCCTGGTCAACAGTAATGTAAGAGTCCTTGGGGTATTTCATCCCATTTCTTCCTTGAATTTCTCAACATATTTACATTTTAGAGACCCAATGAAGCTTTTAATAATGTGGCTATATCTGCTGGAATGGTTCCTTCTTCTCCTGAGGAATAAAGAGAAGCATTAGTACAACTTAAAATATTTTGCATAAACAGATAAAAACCTATGTCCCCAAAACAGTAAAAAAATCCTCTGCTTGTAGGACTTGGTCACTGATTTCTGGGTCAGACTCAGGGCACCTCCTGTTAAATGGAAGAAAAACCAGCAAAAAGACATCTTTCTAGTTCAACATAAAAACCCCAAACAACAAAAGGTTTGTCTACATGAAGAACGTTATTTTTTTCAGAGTAACATATTGCAGCTTTAATTTACTTGAGTGGACATCATTATGTGCAAGACACCTACCTGATTCTGCTGCAGTCATATCTTGTTCTAACTTCAGTTTCTGTTGGCTGATTTTGAGCATGGTTTCTTCAATAGTCCCCTTACTGATGAGCTTTATGACTTGTACTTCTCTGAAAATTACAAAAAAAATCCATTGGCCTAGTTTGGATTAGTGCAAAAGGGAAGGATGCTATGCCTGGCTGGGGTTTAAAGCAAGGATGGGGTAATGAATGAGTATAATATAAAGAACTTCTAGATGTTTCTCTGGAATAACTATGGTCTGTATTGCCAGAAAACATGTTTTCTCCTGCGCTCCCAGTCAATGCAAATATCTGGATAGTCACAAAAATCTCCATTAATATAAACAAGTCAATTCCCCCTAATTCCCCTTTACCATTTAATACAGTTGAAATTACACACATTCTATGGTTTCACTCTTTAGGATAGGGTGACACTTAAAAGCTTAGAAGTCTCCTGAACAGAACAAACAGCTTGGCCATACAGTCCCAAAGACTTCAGATCTACCGTGAAATAGTTCCCAGCACCAGAAATTTGAGATTTATGCACAATTTGAGAGTTGTAGTGAACTAGGAAAAGGAGGAAAGTGTAAATAAAGGCTTGTTCTGCCAGCAACATGGACTAAGACAATTACAGTTCCTAGCTCCCACACAACCCAGAGCTGCCCTACACAAGTCTCTGATTAAAACTTTTAATCATAAATATTGTCCTTTTAGCCTCCTTTGAGAGCTTTCCTCCAAGGAAAACCAAGCACTGTAATTTTAATAAGTCTTACCGCGTCTGCCCCACTCTGTGGCACCGGTCTTCGGCCTGCTTATCGTTGTAAGGGTTGCAGTCAATGTCATGAAGGATCACAACATTGGCTGAGGTCAGATTAATGCCCAAGCCACCAGCTTTGGTGGACAGAAGGAATACAAATATACCCATGTCTGTATTGAACTCGTCTATTAGATGTATCCTGCAAAACACAAGACACCATGCATCAGGCCTTGGAAAACTCTCCACACTGGCTCCAGAGCTGAACACAGAAGTTGGGATGATCTTTTGGAAGAGAGGACAGTGGCACTGCACAGCAGCTCCAAAGTACAGATGCTATGCAGCAGGAAAAAGGGTACCAACAGTCCTCTGCAGTGACCAGAGAAACATACTGAGTGACAGATGGATAGCAAAGAGTGAAAACAGGCTTAGAAAAAGATTTTTGATGATCACAGAACAGAAAGAGTCAGTTGGAGGACAATGGAAGACTGAAGCACATGAAACCAATGGGAAGGCAGGGGATGAATTTTGCTTCATGACAATTTTCATGACAATAACTGCACATGCAAGGGCAGAAACAGACATCAGCTCTACATGGGAAGTAACATCACAGCAAAAATGACAGTTTTTTGAAATGAAGGAAGAAGCATAAAAAAAACCCTTCAAAAATTCTTGAGAAAGAAAACCAGCTCAGCTCTAACAAGAAAGGCATTGCAGCATTTTCAACTGCAGGGACAGACAGAATGGTTTGTCCTAGAGAAACAAAGTGTATCTGCCTATTGTAAAAGAGATACACTTTATCTCCAAGGAATAGCTACTGGTGTTATGACATGCTGACACACAAATCAAACACAAAAGGAACTGCTGAAGACATAGTTTTCATTTCCATGGCTAAGACTATTAACCACACCACCTAAACCTCACCTTTCAGCCTCACCCTTACTAAAGTAATCTGAAATTCAACATTAAACGCCTTCTATGGTCAATGTCCAGTGAGCACAGACTTCTATACACTGGGAAACAAAGGTAAGGGTCCAAAGTCACCTCCCCCTCTCTAACACATTCATTTTCTCTCACTTTTGGCAAGAGTCACATACCGCTCAGAAATCTGCGTTTTCCCATCCAGCCGAAGGTATCTGTGTTGCCAGTGTTTCAGGAAAACTTCCAGGATGTCCAGCATCATAGTGAACTGGCTGAACAACACAACTCTGTCACCCTGAAAGGACAAAGCAAAAATTTTTGAAACATGCCAACTATAAAGCACAAGAATTCTTTATTGATGCAAATATATGATTTTCCTTTCACAGAATCCCTGTTTTCCAAAATAAAAGACTAAGCTAAAAATCATTGAGTCAGGATTGACTTTCAGTGAAGGTTTCATATCCAGTAGATCTAGATCTCACTTACTGTCTGTTATCGCAGTAATATTTTAATTTGTACTTGGATGGCTCAAACAAACCACATAGCAAATGCATAAATGACAGATAATTTAATCAATAAACATAAAAATACTTTCATTCAAAACTTAAATTTAAATATTTCCTGTAATACACAGAGTAGCCCTATTTTGTCTATTTTCCTTTCACAGAATCCCTGTTTTCCAAAATAAAAGACTAAGCTAAAAATCATTGAGTCAGGATTGACTTTCAGTGAAGATTTCATATCCAGTAGATCTGGATCTCACTTACTGTTATCGCAGTAATATTTTAGTTTGTACTTAGATGGCTCAAACAAACCACATATCAAATGCATAAATGACAGATCATTTCATCCATAAACATAAAAATATTTTTATTCAAAACTTAAATTTAAATATTTCATGTAATACACAGACTAGCCCTATTTTGTCCGAAATAGTCAGATCCACAGCACCCACCTGTTCAAATTCAGGATACTCTGAAGCAATATGGCACATGCTTATTTGCAAAGTAAACCTGTTTGAATCTCAGGGCAGGACTTCCTCCTACCTTTCCTCTGGCTTAACACACACAATTATTCTACTGTAATACAGTTATTCAATTGCCAAGAGAAGGTCCAAGTCCATGAGGTGTGAAAATTATGCAAGACCCCATATATTAACAGAGTAGTTAACTTGGGATGAATACTCTGAAACTTGATAAACTGGGAAAATTTATTTCAGCTGTCTCTAAAGTGATGCACATCCTCAGGGCTGCACATTAAAAGTTGTAAGTGTTGCTTCTCAATCCTGCACATGCACTAAATTGCATTGTAAAACTCCACAGCAAAGCAACGGGGTTGCATAGAGAGCTGGCAGATATTAATTTAACCAGTTATTTAGGGACGCTCTTTAGACTGGAAAAGCTTCAGTCATCTGTAATACCTTCTCTTTAAGGTCGGAGAGAATGCGTTCCAATGCTCTAAACTTTCCAGAATCCAGGATCTGATCCACATCTAACATGAAGTCATTGATGTGAGAATATTGCTTACAAAGCACATGCAGCTCAAAATCTGTCATGACTGTCATATCTTCAAAGATAAGGTCAGGGTTAGCATCACAATGTGTGGGTTCCTATTAGCAAAAACAAAGGGAAATCATACAATACACAATCTTACCAGAGAACTAAAACCAAAACCACCACACAGTAACATCCACAATCTCTGCAAGAAAAAAGTAACACACCTAGATGTGGACAAATGCTAGAACTTGGCTCATGCAAGCAATGAAAGATGAACTCTCAACCTTAGATTTATAGGACAGGATATTGACTTCACAGTTCAGCTCTTAGAAGGACTCAGACTGCCAAAAACTTAAGAAGGATATGCTAAACCTTCATAACAATTACCTACTTCCCATCAAGCCCTATGACCTTTTACCCCTTTATGAGACCTCTTCCCCTAAAGACACACTCCCTAAAAGGGAGGTCCAATCCTTGGACAGATGGTAGAAGACATGGAAAACCCAGCCCAAGATGTAGGGTGGGTAGAGGGATGTCATGCCTGGAAGAATGAAGAAAAAAAAGCCACATCTGGGCAGTAGAATGGTATGGGAATAAAAAGGGACAAAAATCCTTTGTAAACCAATGGGTCACTTCTTGCTTCCCCAACCACATCTGGCTTCACTCTAAAAAAAGGTGAAGAATATTCAAAGCCAGCTCCAACTTATTTAGAGCACCTGTGGCACACTGAGTTGTTTTTTTTTTTTGTTGTTTTTTTGGTTTTTTTTTTAATATTTTAGACATCAGCAACAATTTTCACCAAGTTCCTCAGGCATTAACCCCATACTAATTAAAAAAAAAAAATCCTTAACATATCTATATTTAGGCCTTCTCTATTTTAGTTTTGTACTACTCAGTTCTTGCTACTCAGAAAGCTACTAAACTCAAGTGCCCACCTAAGATTTTTTCCATAAATACTCTGGCTTTAAATTCTGGGGTGGAGGGAAGAGGTGCTAAGGCAGAGTTTATGAAAAGGAGACTACAGACCCACAACTGTTGTCTCAATTCTAATGATGCAAAAATCAGTGTTAAATACCTACAGAGCTTGATTAGAGCTCTGGATAGATGCAGAGAAATAAAAAGCAGCAACAATGAATTAAGTTTGGCAAAGACATTTTTGACCAGAAGCCTGACAACAAACCACACAAAGAAACAAGTTTGCATTAGAAGTTCTGAGAAATGAAGGATTGCTTCATCCCCTTACCTTGAGCATGAGGGAGGACATTGTTCTGAGCTTGTCATTTGTGTAGTACTGACGATGCAAAAGAGGGTGATTGGCCATTTTTCTAAGTTGCATCATTGCATTTCCCATATCAGAGTTTTTCTCTGTAAACAAAGAAGGCATCTTTGTACTACTTTTGAAAATTAGCACAAAGCTCTACTTTGTACTACTATTGAAAAGAACCATCTGAAACACTGTTATTTCTCAGCAGAGCTTTGTTTGCAAGAACTCAGTTTGAAAATTCACCTACTACCTGAACTTCAAACAAATTCATAGAAGGGATATAGACAGTTTATGAACATTAGACATTTCTACAAAGCAAAGACTGTAGTCACATTCAACATATATCTCAGCATGACAAAATCCACCAAAAGCAAACAAGGCCCTTACATACCATTACTGTTGATGGTTTTCTTAAGCTTGTTTAAGAGAGCCAAGTAGAGTTGTTCCTGTTTCTCAGACATCGCACACAGTTCAATGAGATCTTTTTTGGGAGGTAGTTGTTTAAGGACCTGACAAAACAAAATTATACCAGATAAAACCTGCATTGTCATGAACCATCAATAATTTTGCACTGTCTTATAGCTGTTATGATACTCTGTTAATTCTCCTCACCCCAGATCCTTTCACACTGCTTGTAACTTCACTAACTCAGGCAGCAATTTAACTCAGGTCTTGACCTAGATTATACATCAACCTCCCCTCAAGTAACATGGTCTGCACACTCCAGAACTACATGAAATAATATTTATTATATGCAATACTTCGGACCTACTCCCCTGCTAATCAGCATTACCCCCTTCAGACCACTGAAGTCTGCAAGTGCCCATTAACATTTTCTAAGATCAATAAGTAATTTAATCTCATATTATGGTGTTGGTCTCAGAGATTATCAGGCTTTTTGATAACACAAACCCATCATTCTAAAGATAAAATGTTACCTCATCTTTTACTCTTCTCAAGATGAATGGCTTTATTATCTGCTTTGCATGTGCAATTCTCTCCTTCTCATATATGCTTTGTTCTTCAGCACTCTTCTAAGGAAAACATTCAAAGAATTCAATTGCAGCGTGAAGCTTTCAGCTCTGACACCACCACCTTAACTTCTCTAACTTGATGAAAACCCCAGCCAAAACAGCCATACTTGACCTGCCCATTAATATTCCAAGATATCCTCTTACAGGATATTTTCATGTAAAAGGTTTACTCAATTGCTTCATTTTCTAGATTTTCATAATCACATTACTTTTTTCCATAAAATACCAATAAAACGGAAGTTAGGCAGCAATAGCAGTCTTCTAGCAAAAAGGAAAAATTTATTTTCAAGAAGAGAATTCATGATACTCACTGTTTTTGAAGAGAACATCCTTCGAATTTCACTTGTGCTACTGCTGAACATATCGGGCATGACAAAATTCAAGAGGGACATCAATTCCAACAGATTATTTTGAACGGGAGTCCCTGTTAGCAGCAAGCGATTCTTGGCCTGTTTGTCCAAAGTGCAAAGAGCAATGAGAAAGATTTGTCAAACGGGCTAAAAAATATTATTGGCAAAAAAGCCACAGCTATGGAGAAGTGAGAAAATGAACTTTGTTTCAATAAGAACTATTTAAACTTGTATTATATCTGGAACTCATGGAATAATTTCCTTGTTAAGTCAACAAAACTGTTTACAGATCTGTGGGGAACTGCACACCAATTTAAGGCAATTAAAAAAGCATTCCTGGATCTATTAGGCTTCGTCTTGACTGATCTGTTTGGGCTTTGTTTTGGTTATTGTTGTTGGGTTTCTTTTGTTGTTTGGGGTACTTTTTCTTCCTCCTGATGACTGTGCTAATTGCTGCTTCCATATCAAGTTCTCTAATGTCATACAGACTTAGGCACAAGTTTTGTAGCAAGTACAAGCAAGTTTTATTGCTTAAAGAACAGCTTTTTAAAAAGGCTATTGATGAAAACATGATCTTGAAAAATACATTGCAGTAAATGATCTTAAGTTCATTATTACTGTACAAATATTACAGTGCTAGATCATATTATTCAGAGAAAGAGCTGTTCTCAAATCTTTTTCAAAACTCTGCTTACTCAGGCAGCAAGCCACAAAAAAAAATATTTACAAGCTGGCTTTTCTTACCCTATCAGAGTAGGTCCTTAAATACTACAAGGTTTCAGCACAAGTAATCAGAATAGCGTCTTTAAAATCTTTACTACTATCAGATGTAATTGGGAATTTGCTTGAAATTTACTACATTTCTTTAGGAGCTTATGTCCCAGAAGTGATCACAGTGCAGCATCTACTCCTTACACCACACCAACACTTAAACCCACTTGCATACTGCAGTTCCTTTAAAGTTACATGTCCTTGAACATTGCAGTTAATATTCCACTTTCCCCCTGCTTGTAACTCCTACAGAAAACCCAGGAGCTGTCCCCTCTAACCCAGCAATAACTAAATCTCTTACATTAATTGTCATGAGGTGCTGGTAGCGGATAGAGCTCATGTTCTTGAGCATATGACCCTCATCAAAAATTGCATAGTTAAGCTTCAGCCTGCGGAACAGTCCTCGATCATCCGAGCTGCTGATTGCAGAGTTGTATCTGTCAGAGACAAATATTACTTGCACTTAGTCTCTCTCTGAAAATGAATGTACTGTTATCACAATCAAATTAAATTCTCTAATATTAAGAGTTATGGAAAAAGTGCATGAGGGGCAGTAGACCTCCCTGGAAATAACCAACTACAACAGAGTTCTTTACTGGTAAATTATTTCAGTTTATTTGATGAGTCAATGCTCTCAGCAACACTTCCTAAAAATTTGCTGAAGTCTATTACAATGTAATATTATCTGCAATATACATGCTAACAGACACATATCTAAAGCACCTATGACACAGTATCTCTTACATGATCATAAAACCCTAGTTAACCATTATCCGAAACCCAAATCCTAAAATTGTCTGGTTTCTTGTACCACTAGAGGTCAGCAGGACCTCACTGAAGCTCCCTGTTTGTAGTGTTTTAACTGTACTTACGTAGTCACGATCACATTGAAATCAACGACTTTATTGTGAATGTCCAACCTGAGATGTTTCCTATCTTCTTGGGACCCTAAAGAAGGACAAATCATAAAATGAGTACAGTTACATATATTTATATACATGTAATAATTAAAGACACTGCAGAGAAATCACTCATCAATAAATCTGTATACTTCAACAACTGTCTTAAAACAACACTGCCAAGAGCAATTAATCTTTTCTTGCACTTGCCATGCAAGCAACTGCATTATTGGATTCACTTCCAAACTAGATTCCTCACCATAGTAAAAGAGGACATTCAGTTCAGGACACCACAGATGAACTTCTCTTATCCAGTTATCTGTAAGACAACATTAAAACAAAACCCAAGTAATTTTAATTTATTAGGTCCTACTGTTTCACACTTCAGCATCAACCGAAACATCTGATTTTGATGCAAATCCCTTTGAATTCTCCTGAAGGTTAAGAGACATTCTGTCTTAAAACTGTAAAACTGGCAAGTAAGAAACTGGATCAACCCTAACTGGGCTTTAGTAACTCAACCAGCTTGCTCTTTAAACTCCTGCAGGAACAGACCCTGCATCATCTGTAACCACTGTATGAAATAAACACAATGTGTAACTCTGCAGCTTGGTTTCTTCCCTAGACAGTTAAATCCCCAGAAAGCAAATCACTTAATCTGTTGGTACTTGCCTGCAGAAGTGTATCACAAGGAGAGACAGTGCCTCTGGGAGCCTGACATCCCAGCTGTGCAGCTCCAGGTGTGCAGCAGCACAGCAGCCACAGGCAACACTGCTGTGCCCAAGGGGAAGCTGCTTGACAGCCAACAAGTGCTGACCCCAAACCACAGCAGAAGGGGGATGCTGCTAAATGCCACTTGGAGAGGGGAGGTACCCAGGTCAGGGGTGAGGAGACACCTCTGGAAATGTCAGGAAAACTGCCAGCAGACTGCACTGCCCAGGCATTGCCAACCTGCCTCTACTATTGGGACTCTAAGACTGACTTCACAAAAGCACCTTTCTTCACATACTTGCACACACCTCAGGTTTTAATATATGCATTATTAAGAGTTGTTTTAAAAAGTGGGTTCCAGTGGAGTTTGAAAGCACAGTAAAAGTGAGGATTTCAAATTTAAGTTGAACAACTGGAAACTTTTCTGATGCATCAAGAGAGATTTTTGAAGCCCAAATAAGTATTTTATACTAAAAACAGCATTTACTTTCTAAACTCAACTTGTTACTTCCCCTGCCATTCAACAAATCCAAATTTAACTCCATCAATAACCATTTTCTGCTCAACCTCACCAGCTTTGGTAACATTTTATTCCATCATCCTCTTTCCAATTTCAACTGAAGCCATAAAACAATCAGAACACACAAGTAAAAGACAGTTAGCCTGATCATTTTAGGATTTTCATCTGCTTTGACAGATGCTGTGCAGTAAAGAGGAAAAAAGACAGGGAATGTTTAAAATGTCATTGAACCTAGCCCTAAGCACAGCCTGAAGACTAGCAAGTTCAGCCAATACTCAATAAGTAAAAAGAATACTTTGCTACACAAGTTCAGATTGTAACAAGCACCTTCATTTTTTTCAAAGCAGACAGATTGTCTTAAAAAAGTTCCATGCTAAGTCTAATTAATTCAGAAAAAGCATGCCTGCAGTATGGTCTGCATTCCAATTCAAATGACTTAAGGAGCTGATTACCATCATAAGAAAATCCAATTTTCTTTCATTAATTTATCTTTGCTTTACAACATGTCCATGATTGGCTCGGTTATTTTTTCTCTAACAAAAAGATTTTTGAAGGTTGTAACTTACCTATCGTTGAAGCTGGCACAACTATCAAGTGGGGACCTTTATTGCCCTCTTGGTAGAGATAAGCCAGAAATGCAATAGCTTGAATTGTTTTTCCTAAGCCCTAAGAGAAAATAAATCCATTTAAACAAAATTTACCATCTGCATGACATAAAATTGTTTTGAATTCTTAAGACAATTACAGTGTATTGATGACCCAGTAAAGATTAGAAATCTGATCAGAAAATTTGTTCTGAATAACTAAGCTTACAGAAGACAACTCCTTCTTAAGTACAACCTCAAACTTCCTTATCATTTCAGCTCAATATTTGAACAAAGATTCATGTTTTCAATTAATGAAGTCTTTCATTTTAGTTCAAGTTCATCCCTCAAATAATCTCCAGAAATTTACCTTCCTAAACCAATGGTGCAGAGAAAAATGATTACTTGGAAACTAAATGCCTATTTCCATTTGACCCAGTTGTACAAAGGGTATTCCAGTATTTCTGAAGTGGAATTTAATATGCAAATCAGATTAAAGATAAGCCTACATTTCCACCAACTCTCACTTTTCCTGTTTTTTGCATCTTGAATTAAAAAATTTTGCGTATCTACCACAAAAAAACCCCATATTCTTACTAGCATGAAATATACAGAAGTTGAGAAACACTGCCTAAATCACAGCAAGGCAAAGCAGTGCTTTCATTCATGGTTCATCAGAAGACAAACAGCAGCCAGGATTAAAAACAACAGACCACAAATTCAGCAGCTGCATCAGTAAGTTTTTTCTGTTGTACAATTATGGGTGGTATCAGCCATTAACAAAACCTCAAACCCAAAAGCTTGTCTCTCTTAGTTCACAGTTGATGACGAGTGTCATGACAAGAAATGGTGGAAATGCTGCTTCTGGAGAAGCAGAGAAGGTTTCTACCCACTTGGTTTTTCCTGTATTGTTATCTGCCTGTTTTGAAACTGGTGAGGAAATCAAGAACATAGGAGCGCGGGTCACTACGCTAAATGTTGTAGAATTAATTCTATTTCTGGCCGAGGAGCTGTTAAACTCAATGGTTTGAAAATAAGCTGTTGTGGTAGAAACCAGTTCCATTGCACCAGAAGACACTATGTGATTTTTAAGCGTCCATGAATCTTAGGCTATCTTTGATTTTCAGATGGAAAGGAGTTGAGCAGCTTCTAAGATCCTGGAGAACTGTTTGCAATTTAGGATTACTTATAATCTCCTGGAGGTTTCTAGGCAAGGATTTAACACAGTCTTTTTTGCAAAATTTTAACAATTCTTAAATAAGCAGTTTAACACTTACCATTTCATCAGCCAAGATGCCATTCAATCTGTGCTTATACAGCAGTGCTAACCAGTTCAAACCAATCTTCTGATATGGCTTCAGTTTCAAACTGTTAAAAACAATTAAGCTTATTACCACCTTTTATTTGTTTCTCCTCGAAACACAGCTTTACACTCACTGTAATCACAGACTGGCAGATTTAACACTGCCTTTATTTAACACTGCATTAATTTTAATGCACTCCAGACCTAGTAGTGAAAAACACAAACTTTCTTAATCAGTCACCTGTACACAAACTGAATTGCTTATCTCCATTTTCACAGACCTTAAATGATCAAAGTGAGTGACAAAAGAAATACTTCTCTTCTACAATCAGTGATACACAACCAGATAAAAGCAGTTAGAGAACTACTCATTTCTAAAAGACACAATTAATTCAGTGGCATTTTGCAGCTGCATCCCTAATTTTGCTCTGTTGTACAATTACTGTATGTGTCAGCACCAAAGAAAAACCCAAACACACAACCCACAAAACACACTCAACAGAAGTCACCCAATTCAGCACTTTTTCCAAAGCAGAAGCATCACTGACATCCTTCCTCCTAAGACTTCCTACCTCCTCCAAGGCTTTATTTTCACACAGCTGAGTATCTATTGCTTCTAACAGCATCCAACTGGAATTCAAGCTGCTACTTTGGCCATTCCCACTACACCCCTACATTTCTTAACCCTTAGAATAATACCCTCCACCACATCCATTTCCATTCCTCCTAACAGCTATTTGGAGATCCTTACCAATTTACTTCTCTGAAAGAAATCCTTCCCCACAACACATTCCAGCTGCCACTCCGACTAGATACAGAGTTCCAGATTACTTGGTACACCTGAACTTCCTGACCAATGTCTTTCATTCAGCTGATAAACCTGCCCAGTTGGCTTAGATTTGTTCCAATTTAGCATTTTTGAAATCAAATTCTATTTGAAATCTGCCCCTCATTACAGACGCAGGTTTGCTTGGGTTTTTATTTGAAATAAGTTGACAACTCATGATTCCATTGCTTAAGGTTAGCTGGTATATTCACCAGAAACTGGAGGAAATAAAACAGTTATAATTTTTATGCTCTTATCCTGCCCACCAGCTTTTCTGATACACTTAAAAACTATTAAGATTCTCTCACTGAGTGCTACTAAGTATCAAAAATCTGCAACTCTACTTTCAGAGACTACAGTTCTGAAAATCCCAGTCTTCAAGTACACCTTATTGTCCAACACCCTTCTAAAGTATAAAAATGAGAGATACCTGCGATTCAGAATGGAGGGTTGCTCTATGTTCCATCCACATCCTCCTCCTCTAGTAATACTGGTTACCTGTTTTGTCAGTTTATTGGAAATGTCTTCACATTTATTCATGAGCTTTAGAACCACATCCCTCTCCTTCAGCAGTATCTTGCAGTTCCACACTATATCCTCTGACAAACCAGAAGTCTTCGTCATTTTTGTAAACTGCAAAATAATAATAATTAAAAACCTATGAACACTGGTAATAGCAATTGCAGTGAAAATCCACAGCTGATCCAGGCAGTAAGTCAAGTAGTAGACAGCAACAGCATCCCCATCTACTCTCAAAATTCCAAATACTCCTTACACTTGGCCCACTGCAAACTGTGTGAATCCACACTGAAGGTTGTCATTGCAGCTCCTCACATTATGAAACTTGAAATCTTAAGTAATAAAAATTCTCTGAAGAGTTACTAACATAAAATACAAGCACTTTAAACTCAAAATCCTCAACAGGAGGCAACACGCACTGCAAAGGCCAGCTTTGAAGGCCAGGCACACGAACAGAACAAAATCCCAAAAGGAAGGAAAAAAACCGACTGATTCTCATTAAGATGCCCTTTTAAACAAACCCTGTTACATACTAAAGGTAGAAAATGTAAGCATAATGTAGGCACCAAGGCAAACAAAGACACCTGTAATGAAGGTTATTACACTTTGTTATGGTCTGTCTGGAGCTCAGCATTACTTGGTTCCAGTTTTAACTCTACCACAAAGGTAGTCAAAGTGGACTTAGGCATTGTGCCAAGTTTTTTGTGGTCACCAAGTACTTCCAGTACAACAAGCGTTACTTCCACAACTTGCTTCCTCAAGTCCACACTATAAACACTGTATTTCCCTCCTCCAAATTTCAGATCTTCATCACAGTATGAATATTTTACATGTCAGAGACAAGCAGCCTCAAGTTGTATCAAAACAGGCCCCTAGGGCCCATCAATTTCTCCTAAATTCCACTTAGAGCCATCTGCAGAAAGTGTAAAACCTACCACTATAAATATTTCTGCAGTAACTGGGGTCACATTTGTAATGATAGTATTTGCACGAGTAGTTATGCATATTTCACTGTAAAGAACAGGCTTTTTTTATTTATTAATGTATTTAAAGAATTGAAGAATACAAGGTGTTTTGGATTCAGCATTCCTGTATTAAAAAACAAGTAGTTTTCACACAGATTTTTCTGAATTTTAGATCAGGGATCTGTTAAAATTTAGCACAAAACTTCATATGTATATACACTCCAAGAACTCCTTCCATAAAAAACAAGTCGTATGATCCAGCTATTATGTTTTAAGTAACTCACCAATCTTGTCACGTTGCAGAGTAAAAGCAAGTTTAAGGTAAAGATTATAACCAGATTAAAAACAGAATTTAAGAAACATTCAGAAATGTTTAGAAAAATATCTTAAAAATAACCAGAGTGAGGCAATTACAGTCTGGGGGTACGTTTTTGTTTGTGCTTTTTTGATTTTAAACAAACTCCAGAAAGTTGACCAACACTCCTGGGTTAGACCAGGCTAACATACACGTTTCAACACCTGTAAAGAAATTTTCTAAATAGACACCCCTATTTAGAATTAAAAAAGAACACAGTTTTTAATAGGTGTCTACAAAATTTCGACATTTGTTTTGATGACTAAAGCTTTGGTTGGCATGAATAGAAAATCCTGTAATCCATAAATAAAGGTGTGGAGAATTGAGCCATCTGTTATGAACAGAAATTGTATTGTTTCATGTCAGCACAGTAACATCCACATCCAAGTTGCAACAAGAAATACTTTAGCCACTGGTTTGCATGTGAAGCACAGGGTGCTACCCTGCTCAGAAGTCAAAGCAGATCCACAGGTGGCCTTTGCTTTCTAGAGGTTCTGATACCCTCCCAAGTTCAGCTTTTTTCAAATGAGGCCCAAAAATGTGAGACCATCATGGAAATTGAGCCCATGAGCTTTCCCAGCATATTTGGAATTGCCACACCAGCACATTCTGCCTGGGCTTACTTTACACCACTTGCAAGATGATGATGGCTTTCCCTTTAATGCCTAAGGGTGAAAGTCAGCCTCGACCAACAAAAACCAGTTCCACTGTAAGCAGCTGGCTTTCCCTTTAATGCCTAAGGGTGAAAGTCAGCCTCGACCTCGACCAGTTCCACTGTAAGCAGTTGGTAACCTGCTGCATTTGCTGCTTCCCTTCAGCTGGCTTTGGTGCAATGTGGTTCTGGAGTCTGGTTTTTGTGGCAGTTTGTACATATGGAGGCAAACAAATAGAGATGACAAAGGTGGAGCTACTCTCCCTTCAGTCTGTACCTCCTAGCTCATATACTGCTGCAGTGTACAGAATATGATGGACAAGTACATCAACCTCTGACAGCTCAGTTCTCCCATTCCCCTGTAAAGTAAGTGATGTTCTATGTCAGTATTTCAATGTAACACTTTCCATCACTTGACTTGGTGTGTATTCTGTAAGAATTTCTGTAGACCACAAAGTCTTTAAATGCAAGACAGCTTATTTTGTGATAGAATAATACTGTGAATGACAAAAATGAGAGGATACATGCAAGTCTCACACTGATACATATGTTTTTACACTAAAAGGAAATCCCAACAGGTAACAGTTATACACCTTAAAAACACCCCAAAAAACAGAACAGCATTAAACCCTCTTATTTTGTGATAGAATAATACTGTGAATGACAAAAATGAGAGGATACATGCAAGTCTCACACTGATACATATGTTTTTACACTAAAAGGAAATCCCAGCACATAACAGTTATACACCTTAAAAAAAATGAAACAGAACAGCATTAAACCCTCTCCACTTCCTCTCCCACATTTACCAGAAGAAGCAGAAAATTGCAAGACCACCAATCCAGACCCCAGAACCTCGGCTGAGCATCTCTGGGAGCCAGTCTAGGCTTTGCTTTTGTTTCTTGGCACACAGTGAAGGCAGGCAGGTACTGCCCTTACGTGACTGTGCTCACAGGCTCTCTGCTGAGAAATGGCGCGAGCTCTTCCGTTTCCAACACTGGGCACTTCCACAGGTGGGAAATGAGAGTGCTATTAAAATATAATTAAGCACCAACAACTTTTATAAAGGAGTTAGGATGAAGAGGAAGGGCAATTGGTGCCCAGAAGTGCTTCCATCAAGGAAAGAAACCATCCTGTCTGCTGGCCCACAATGTGTGCCAGTCGGGTCTCATCAGGACCTCAAAGCAAACAGGACAGAGCAGTGAGAAGCCAACACAGAAGACTGGGGAGACCTCACTGCAGTTACAACTTCCTCACAAGGGGAATCAGCGATGCAATCACAGATCTTTTCTCTGTGGTGACCAGGGACAGGACCTGAGGAAATGGCCTGAACCCGTGCCAGGGAAAGTTGATGCTGGATATTAGGAAAAGATACCAGGTTTCCTCCTGGAAAATGTACTTGACCTACAGTGTAGGCATTTCTAAACTGCCAAATGAATTAATCTATGTAAGCAAGGAAAATTTCAGCTCTCTCCCAATTATTTTGAGAGCCATGTCTACTAAGTTTTTTCTGTGTGTTTTAAGCATTACAAGATCAAGTTAAACACTTGAAATATCTGCTCTAAAGAATAAGTATTTCCAAGTGCTCTTACTAATCTTATGAGCTTATAAAATTAATTTAAAGTCTCTTGAAACAAAATAGCTTAGTCCAACTTAAAAAAAACCCATCTAGAATAAAAAAAATACATTCTCATTTATGTTTTCCTGGAATAAAACATTCAATTTACAAATAAGTAGGCTTTATTGTTAATCTCAGACCGAGAGTCTTAATATCTTCCTCAATTCTAATAATGAACAAGTGGTAACAACTTGTAGTACTTCACATTGTGTTACACAAGATACCATTACAATAAAAAGAGAATTAAAATTAAGCCAATTTCTTTAATGCTCTAACTGAATCAGCCCTCCCCATTATTCTAACCACCCTTATTAATTGGTAGGAAAAACACTGGGTTACTGAGTTACTGGATCTTTATAAAAATTAAATCCACACTGATACAAAACATCTGCTAAAATCTGCTGCAAACCACTCCTACTCTGGGCAAGTATTCACAACACTACATAAACATGTGGCTGTTGACAGCAGCAATCTTCATGAAAGACAAATTCTGAATGCAAACAGGCCCATGCAGTGGTTTTTTACTGTAAAATATTTAACACAGAAAAAGAAAAGAGCCCTGTAGCAAATACTTCTGCAAAGAATTAAGCTCAGACAAAATCCAACAAGTTTAGAAAGTAATAGCTGTATGACAGATGTTCTGTGAGAAGCCAACGGCTTGGGGCAAAACGGATTTCTTTTGCAGCATACCAATACCTCGTATTTTTTCACGTATCGTCTTCTTGTCTCCCCCCCCACCCCTTACAACACAAAGATCACTTTGTTTTCCTTAAAATTCTGTTTAGTAACTCTTATTCTTTCGTGGTAATATATTTCACACACTGAATAATAAATGTTTTTTTTTTTACACATATTGAAAAAGTTCTTGCATACATCAGTGGGGGGTTCAGAATAAACACTGATGAAAAAACACCAATTATTCTGTAAAAAGGCCTGTGCGCAGTCACTGCTTTAAAATCCAAAGCACCAATAAATGAAATCGAGACAATCTGCTGTAACAGACTGTAAGAATTCAAATTTCTTACCAGGACATTGCTCTTAGCAGGTCTGAGGTCTTGCAGTTAACTGAAACTGTATAAAATGTGAAGTCTACAAACAAGCCATGGTAAACATCTGAAAGTAACAACAAAGCGACAGCAGATAACGTACTTACCAACAGACACTGTTTTCCTTTCTGTGGTGGATTGTGGCTTAACCTTCTGAAGCTTTACCTTTCATTAATAAAACACAGCAGCTCATTCCACTAAAAATGGCTGCATTGCTTAGCTAGCAAAACCATGCTAGAAACTAAGATGCAGCAGAATAAAGGCACAAAAGAAGGAAAAAAAAGAGAACGACCATTTCTTGCCTGGAAGTGAAAATATCCATGCTGGCTTCTTCAATCATGGAGCTACCCTGGAAGCTGCTGCTGCTGCACAAGTGTCTGCAGTAAAGGTCCTGTCACATTCTTCCCTCCTGCATGAGTTTTCAGCTACAAGAGCTCAGAACAGGCTAGCAAACACCTCCTTCTCAAGTGAAAGCTCTAATTTCTCCTTCTGCAGTGAAATCAACCAACTTTCTGTGCTACAGAGTGAGTGACAGTAATGTCAGCCAATCAGCTTGAGTTTTCCAGAAAAATCACCCCTTAATTCATTCAAAATCAGGTCATATGACACTATTTGAAATGCTATTGGCTTAGGAGGAACATAGCATTTCAGCCTAATGAGGATAAGGCCACCCATCTAAGCCTCCCTAGGCTGAAGCCACCTTGACTCTAGGCAGGCTGGGGATAGGAAAGCAAGAATGCAGACCTACCAGAGCCTCCCAGCTGTTAAAGGGCCGGAGCGCTATTATCTTCTGAGCCTTTTTCTGAGAACACTGGGGAATCAGAGACAGTTCACTCAGGGAAGCATCCTGCAGGAAGCTGAGGATTTTTGCTTTGTAGCCATCCTCCATCACTTCGTCACCACTGCTGTAGTCCTCATCCAGGGAGCTTCCGCCGTCTTCAGAAGCGGACTCGTCCTCCGTGTGTTCTGTTTCTCTCTCAGCACTCCAAATGCTCCTTTTGCCTTTGTCCTTTTTCTGAAAGCCATTCTGCTCTTTCTCAGAAGCCTTCTGCTTCATCTTATCTTTACTCTCCTCATTCTGGGTTTTAGTGGATGCTTCAGTCCAGTCAGCAACTTTACTTTTGGGAGGAAATTCTATACCTGCGCATGCAACACAGAAGGTACCAAGTCAATGCATACTGGTATGGGGCTGATGAAAACACAAGTTGTTCTTCCAAAGTAAAACCTACAGATCTGTAAAACACAGTTCTAGCATTTAATACACAAGAACTCAAAGCAGGTGATCCTAAGAGAACAGAAAAGCAAATCTGTATAAAATATATAAATAGCTCTAAGAGTGGAAGATAAGTAAAGCTCATTTGTAGAATGGTCAAATAGCAGAAGGTTTTAAGTATCTTAAAATACAGATGATCAATATAATGTCATATTTGTGAGCTGCAGAAGCTCTGAATCCAAGCAAACAGTTAAGAAGTCTGATGTATCCTTAAGATGAGACACGGGTTCCACAGCACCTGACTGCAGAGATATCAATTCTGACTTGAGAAAACAAGCCTTCTTTCACCAAGAAAATAATAAATTTTTTCCATTTTAATGCACTGTAGTACAGTATTTGGGGTGGGACACTGAAAACATGCACTTGCTAAAAAACCTCAAATAATGAGCCATCTCCAACCAAAATAACTTAGCTGCCTTAAAATAAGACAGAAGGTGTTTAACTGAACACAAGCAAGTAATTTTCAGAAGGGCCTTGTAAGGGTTTTGATTCCTTCATTGCAAGAGAGCACTTGCAGTACAGAAGTTTCTCTTCTCTCCAATCCCAGCTTGCTGCTGATTGAGCCCAACCCTGACATGTGCCTTCTCAGAAGCAGGAGCAAGGACACAACTTCCTGAGCACTGCTAGCTCTCTCCACCAGTAAAAAAACCAGTTAAGAACACTACCCTGTCCCAAGAACACTTAAATAGCTGATATAGCAAAACATGTACATATCTGACAGCTGTGTAACACACTGAAAAGTAATCAACTCATTAAATAGGACTTAAGTTCTAACTTGCAGATTTACTTGGATTCACTGGGTTTGCTCCCTGCCACGCTTAAAGTACTGGGATTTACAGACGGGTTGCAAAATTCAAGGCCTGCTTCTCAGATGTTCCTCCCCTACAACATATTTTAAAATTGACAAAATAGCATGTATGACTTGTTACCTATGCAGTTATTTGTAATTACTGGTTTGGAAACCAGTAATTTACAAATAGTGCAGTTAAAAAAACTCTTTTTTTTTTTAAACAAGCAGGAAGGGAGCAGGTATCAGCTTTGACATGCACCAAAATATATTTTAAGAGATACCCATAGGTAATTACAACTTCTTATACCTATCTGTATTAGCAGGGCAAAGATATTTATCCCTAGTTAGAGAGCAAAAATAAAAATACAGAAAAATTGAGCTTCCTTCTTTTAACCTCACTTTAATACTAATTTAAAGTATAAGTGCAAGTTTCTAGGCATAGTACTGTCATTGCTGAACATTCAAAAATATTTGCATCACATGTCTGTTTTGTCTTTGGATAAAATGAATTATAAATCTGTCTTTACCCTCCTCGTCGTCTGCAAATATTTTCAGGGCCTCCAGTGCATCATGAAACACCCAGTTATGTTCCTCAAGTACCTCTCTCAGCTCCTAGTAAAAAATAAGACATTTCTATTGTGGTGAGATAAGTGCAAGTTAAATTTCTGTGCCTAGTAACATCAGTCAAAGAAAACCCCTGTAAATCAGATAATTTAAAATAAATGGAAATCAAAACGAGAAAACCCTTCAGTTTCTTGTACACTCAGTTTAGGCAGAGCTGTACTCCACTCTTTAAAAGTATAAGAACACACATGAACAATCTTTGCTTCCAACAATTTCAAGCACAGTAATGAAAGAGCTTGAGTAGCTGCTGAGGACCATCAGGTACTGAAGTAATACAAAGTGCTAAATATATTTAGTAGTCTGGGGAAGAAGAGTGAGAGACGGAGGGATCATTTCCTCTTCATTTTTACAATAAGTCATCAAATTTGACTATGCTAGGCTTGTCATAGGGCCAGAAATGTAGGAAGAGAAGTCCCCTGTAGCCCTAACCACATCTCACAGCTCTCAGCTCAGGACAAGTTACATTCTAAAAGCAGGAACAGTAAAGCCTTCCTACCCCGGGCACTTTCTGGAAGTGCTGTCAGTAAAAGAAGTGTTTCATATGGACTATCAACAGCTGCAGTTTTCTTAAGAACACAAAACCTGATGTGCCATCGGGGGACATCAGCTCACCTCCTTATCCAGTCCAGGGAATGTACTTTGCAACTTCTTCACGAGCATCTCTTGCCTCTCCCATTGTCTTTTGGGTTCTGAGTCATCCAGCTATGTTAAAAAAGGTACCTATTAGGTTTAATACTAATTACAGCTACAGAAACAGAAGAAAAGCTAATCAGTATTGTTTTATCCTTAAAGAGCTACTCTAAATGACAAAAGTACTTAAGACAAATTCAAGCTTAAGTGATTCCTAATCAATAGTCAATGATAAAAGACCAAAACTTTAATGAACATAGAAAATGTCTTCAGTCATGAAAAACTGGGACTCTTTACTTGATAAGCATATACAGTACAAACTTATATACCAAAACATAAATAATATAGAACTGTCTAGTTTATTTTGCTTTAAAATCAAAAGTTATTAGAAATTCTGAATGATAATGAAGGCAGAAGACATCAGGTTTGGTGATCAGATTAGCTTACAAAGCATGTGGTGTTTAACCCACTACAAACATGTCAAATGGTGTGTTTATATTAAGATTTATGGGTAAAAAATTCCACAAATATTATGTCACAGCATCATGGAGTCACATCAAAAACTAGTAAAACTTTTCATCAACAATAGCTTCACTAACAGCTACTATCAGCCTGCAAAATGGAAGTTAACAAGTGCCAAAACTTCCACGGGCCACAAGCTGTTCTGCTTCATACTCCTCACATCAGCTCCTTCCTAGAGCTTTGAATGCAAACTGGTTAGAGCTACTTGTGTACAGCAGAGATACCACCATTTCCTTAGCTGAAGGAGCACAGACCACATCAGCCAGAGGCACTCTTGAGTAGAAAAGGACATTATTCCTTTCCTCAGTGAGTCTTAATGTCACTTAGAGAGCAGCTACAGTTTGTAGAAGAGCTGCCCAAGTAAGTTCTGGTCTTAGGAACCACATGGAAAAGCAAGACTAAGAAAAAAGGCCTGCAAGTTCTCACTACAGTTCTCTAGAATGAGTTCCAAAAATCCACATTCCACATTTGTTTTTTTCTAATCCTTCCCCCTTTAATTGTAATGAAACTGTTAAGAACAGAAATGAAGTTGATATATAAAACCAGGTCCAGTGGAACATGGTTTGCTAGGTGGCTGGTTAATAATTAACTAAAGCCTCCTTTCATAACCAAACCCAGGGGTTTGGTGAGGAGGAACAAACCCAGTTCACATCTCTTTCAGGAAGAAGGAATTACAAATGAGTTGTAATATTTTTGCTTTAATAGCAAACTGTGTTTTCTTTGTTTGGTTCTGTTTGAGGACAATATTAGCCTAAATTTCAACACAGCCACTCTCCTTCACGCAGCCTCCAGTATTTATGTAGAATTCCCTTTCTCTACATAAGTAGCTTTCAAGGATGTCTTCTGGGATGCCTGGGAGAGAGCCTCTGACAGCACTGCAGGACTGCCAAATACCACCCTGAATGCACCGGGATCATGACATAGCTCCCATTTATTAGCAGAGGTCAAAGTAGTCATTCCTCTAAATGCAACCAATTAATTATTTTTAAAGATTTCCCCAAGTCATAGTTTCAAATATATATGCAACATCTATAACAAAGAATAGCAGTAGATATAGCAAAATATGTTAACTTCATGTGCTTGAGGAAATATAAGGAATGACCTGAGGAGGAAAAGTGATCCAGAGCCTGTAATTCCCACTGATGCTCACAAAAACTGAATGGCACTCAGAGCCTCACACACTGCTACCTGCCATCAACTACTTCCATCAAAAGCAGTGAACTGGCTGGTGTGATACAAACCCACAAGCACTAAAGAACAAAGCAGGTCATTCCATTCAGAATACCAACAATAAAAAATCACATAAATCTCATCCAGATGGCAGGATTTGATTTGACTTAATTTTCTGATAAACACACCACTGTCACTGACCCAGACATGTCAGTGACATTACCTGTCACTGACCCAGACAGGTAATTCCATTTATTTTACAATGCACAAAGAGAAAAGCACAGTACTTACATAAGTAACTTTTGACTTTTTTGCAGCTTGCTCATTTTTGGTTTTGCAATTTGTGGGAGAATCTCTTTGCTTCCTTTTACCAGAGGCAGCTTCAAAAAGAATTGAGATGTAAAAGAAGAATTAGTTCCTTTCATTAAGTTTCCTCCAAAACAGCAGGATATTTTACTTACTACAACAATGCAGTAGCTATTTGTTACCCACACAATGTTTACCAGTCTCCATAAGTTTCCTACTACAGAGCACAGATACATTGAAACTGGAAGCAAAGCAGCTGCTAGAAGATACATGTTTATTTACCTCTAAGTTATCTTCAGTGGTCTGGCAATTAATCAAGCAATTACTTCTCATATATAGCATTTTCTTCTTCTTTTTTTTAATAGTTACCACATGTTATTACACACAAGTTGCATAAAGGTGTATCTGTGTCTGGTTTTATTCAAGCTGGTATTTCTTCCAGGCTGAAGCCCATCTGTGTATTGGAATATGTACATCACTGCCAATCTGGAAGCATTGGTGACTGATTTCTGGCTCAGGTGCACACCAGAGCAGTTACCAAATGCTTTTCAACATTAAATCCAGACATCTCAAAGCAAACTATGCATATTAAGCCTGTGATAACCTTATCACTTACAAACAGTCCACGTAAGCCATAACTTTCTGACTGTCTTTGGGCCCTGGTGATTATCAAGAGATTATCATCTCAGCATTAAGGCCTGCCCAGCCAGGTGCACTTCCAGACTGCTGCTGTGCATGGCTCATGAAGGCAAGAAAACATTGCCAGTATTTCTGCATACCAGCTTGGCTTGAAGATTATCAGAACAAATTGTTATTGTGAAAATTCCTTGTCCCTGATCTGAAGTACTACTGGAAGTTAAATCTCCTCTGGAACAGCAAGTGCCTGCAGAGCTTTGGTGTCTGATAGCAGCATCTCTGGCCAACCTCCCCTCCCAGCCTACCCCAGGAGACCAGTGAAAAAGAACACACACATACACAAAAAGCCCATTTGCTTTCCAATCCAGAAGACTGTCTGGATGATCAAAATAGTTTTAACTCTGGAACATTAAGTAGCCAAATCTTCACACAAGAAGACACTTAGTGTGGAAATACTTCCAAATAAATTTTCTGCTATAGTCATTCACTGACATCAGAGAAGTGGCATAAAAATATTGAAAAAAATTACTAAAAGATCCCAAAGAAAAGCAAAGTACTAGCAACTTTTCCCTAAAGTAAGGATCTAGTAAGAGATACCAGAAAACACTGTTAAAATTCTTTTCGAAGTCTATATATTTATATGTATTCAGATAAAAATATCATAGAATTGTTTGGGTTGGAAAGGACATTAAAGATCATTTAGTTCCAAACTCCTGCTCTAGTCAGGGATACCTTCCACTAGATCAGGTTGCTCAGAGCCCCATCCAACCTCACCCTGAACATTTCCAAAGATGGGGCATAATTTAAATAATTTAAATAACATTGCCAGGAAAATGCCTGCTACTAGCTTAAGTCTGAGAAATGTGTGGTTGTCTTAACATCCAAACTAGAAGTTGTCAGGCTGCTGCTGGGCCAAGCAGTAGGAGTTATTGGAGGCCTCATGCTATTATTTTTTAAGCTCAACTAACTTGGTATTCAGGATGGAGAATTCTGAATGTGAACAGTGACCCTATAAACCCCATAGACCTAAAAAAATACATGGCTGGATATAAGAGTATTCCAAAGATTTTCCTGCTTTTAGGTCAAGCTTAGGTCCTGCTTTAGGGCTGAGCACTCAAGAGCCTTTGAAGGAAGTTCCATCATAAGCAATTTTGGAGGCAATTGAACTGAAACAAAGGATCTGGAAAATCATGATCTCAGAAACCTATAAACACAGTATTATTTAAAAATAAACCTGTGGTCTTTAGAAACCCACCACATCTGCAAATTAAAAGAAAAAAAAAGCCAACTTTCTGAAGACATCCACTTTGCAAAAAGTACACTTAACTTTTTCTTCCTGTGCTAAGGGAGTATATGGCTGAAGGAATAAAGAAACTCTCACTCTTAGATAGGAATCATCCTCAGAGTGCAGGCAGGGCCTTCCAGAGGAATCCTTGCTCTCCCCATAAATTTTGTAATTAATGAGCAATGAGAAAAGCAGCTCCAAGGTCTCAGACTTGAGAGAAGCATCTGTAATTATTTCCCCTGTTACTTGCTGCTACCTCTAACAAAACAAAAAAAAATCCCTTTTATTACTATGACTTCCCATATCATGATAAAAGAAAACAGTAATTTCAAACTGCTCAGAAAGCAGTGAATACCAGACAGATCTACATCAGGCTTCAGCTCAGAAGCACACCCACCACTTTTGAGGTTTTTATGAAAACAACACCAGAAACAAATCAAAAGCAACAGGTATTACTACAGCTTCACATTTTAGACACATATTTTCAATGTGTCACATCTAATCTTCATACCTTTAAAAATTCTGCACTGTGTTTCTTGTTTTAGCTCTACACAGCTATTGAATTCAAGGACAAAAATTCAAGGATATCATAGCCACACTTTTGTCACAAAGCCGTGCTTAGCAAAACTGTATCTTGCCTTGACCTCTTACACAGCCAACATTTCACAACAAGTAAAGCATATCTGAAATTGACACAGTTAAAGCAGATGTTCAGTAATGTCTCCATATTTAAAAAATGTGTCCAAAATGAGATGATTTATACCATCACTGTCAGGCGTGCTTACTCCTAACTAAATATTTTATACAACAGCTGTCATTAGTGAGAATTTTGCTGCCAAGAAAATTTTTCTGTGGCTCATATTAAAAGGATGTGAAACAACATTCTTAAATCAACACAAAAATGGCCAAAAGGCAGGGTCTACATAACAGCAATCAAAGTGATTTAGTTCAAACACTGTGAACTGCAACAAAGTTTAAGGATATATAGTAGCTTAAATTGGATTAATATTTATGAAAACCCTTGAAAAGTAATCAGTCTTCCAGGACAAGCAGCGCTCAGTGTATTTCTCAAAACATGCCAGCCTTGTTTCCTATTGCCAGTACCCAAGAATTTCCATCCATAGAATCTGACCATGCACACAGTGATAAACTCAAAATGGTTTGGTTGGTTAAAAAAGCCTCATCAAACAACACAGAAGCATCCCTTCACTCAAAGTAGCCTGGATGTTCTTAAAACTTATTGGAAATTGTTAAAAATCTTTGCACTTTTATATGAAAATAGCAAAATGAAAATACAGTAAGTACAAAGGGGAAATAAATAAGCAAAAAATTTTCTATTCTAAAAACAGGAGTACAACAGTCCTCCCTCAGCCTACATTTCCTCCTAGACATACTGCTCCAAATCCATAGGCTCATGCATGAAAAGATGCATGAACTACTCAAAACAATTAAACCATCAAGTGACAAGAAATAGCTTTTTCCATCATTTCCATGAAGATCCTTCAGGAAAACCTTGGACAGCTGAACTGTAAACAGATGGTTGGTCTGCTTTCTATAATATCAGAAGTCCACTCTTCCCTGACCAACTCCAACAAATCAAAAATATAAGACAAGACCTAACCCTGGACTCAGGTGACGGGAAGAAACAAACCCGAAGCCCAAGAATTATGACCCTTTAACATATCTAACACTCACAACACATTCCCACAAAATGTGCTGGGTTTTTTGCCTTTTTTTCTTTGTTTTGGTAAGAGTATGACACTGCATAAACTGAGGTGCAGAACAGACACCCCTTAATAAGCTCTGAGGGTTCAAAAACATGGTTTGGGTAATGTTTTGCTAGAGAACCAGGGAGATCTGTCTAACGTTTAAGACTAACAGTTCTTATTCAGAATTACAAGCAGGTCTTAAAAACAACCAGCAGAAAAAACTGCAATGGACCTTGATACAAACAATATCTACTTATTAGTAACTACATACCCAATATATTTCTTCCATACTACCAGACTGCTACCTAGAACATTTAGAACTACTTCTGCTAATCCCTTACTATGTGCCTCAAGTTCTGGACCAAGAAAGAACCAGCAAGAACAGAATCACTTAAAAACCCACAAGCAAAGCAATCCTGAGCTTCACAGAACAAATTCTGCTTTCTGGTTTTATTTACAGATTTTGGTCCACATTCTCTTTTCATTTTTCTCCCTCCAAAGCCCGTAAATTCAGTTTTGTTTGTTTTAAACAAACAATACTATAACTTTTAGCCGAAGCTTTACCACTTTTTAAACACTTCGCAACCAATTTCACTGAATTAGCTAGAGTATGTAAAGTTTGGGTTTTATTTTTGTTTTGTGCAGTTTTTTTGTTAAACATACCTTTGTCGTTGAGCTTCAAACCAGCAGCTACTGCTTCATCCATTGTGTGTGCTGATTCTATCAGCTGCAAAGAAAAACACAAGGCAACTGCTAAGTGGAGAAATTGAATCCAGTTGAAAAGAGGAAGACAATGCTGGATCAGCTGTGACTGAAAAATACTTTTAAAACCCCCCTGCAATATACATGTATTATAAAACCCAAGAGCAAAACTAAGACCTCACAAATCACCAGTTTGAATACAATGTCATTTATTATCGCTTTCTTCCCTACTTCACAAACATACTCTGTGTATTTACTTAGAAGCTTTTTTTCAAAGACTATTCAATGTTACTGTCACAAAACAAGATAAAGAAACCCTCTAACTTATTAACTCAAAGTGTCTGAATACTATTTTGATGCACTGGTTCATTCCTGTAAATACATGCATGAAATGTATAATGTGCCTCAAGATTCATCAGTACATCCTTGCAGTCCTAGATTGTTTCTCCATCCACATGAAATCTCAACTGAACGTTGGGACTTTTAGGTGGCTTTCTGCAGGTGAGGTAACAGCAACAAAAGCAAATGGCTTAAATGTTACAAATATGAAAAAAAACCCAAAACAACAAAACACAAAATGGAGTTATGAGGAATCCAGATTCTCAAGTATCAGTCCACATTTGGAAACAGCATCTTACAATTTTGCTACAATGGCACAATTTCCTTTACAAAAGGCTTAAGATTTTTTTTCTTAATAGCATTCATCAGTTGTGTCAAGTTTGTCAGGACAGCCTGCTCCAGATCCTTCATGAAGGAACACCAGATTTACCTGATACTCCTCTGTCCTCCTTACAAATGTTGGAGCTATGTAACTGCAGAAAAAAATCTGCAGAGCCCCCATTTTCTACAAAGTTCTGCTGATACAGGAGCTATCTTTCATTCTCCTGAAAACAACCACCACCAGCCTCGCACGCTGCTCAGGAGCCAAGTCACAAAACAGCAGTGAGACACACCACATAGTATTTCTAGCAAGTTACTAAGCAATGATGAACTTTGATCAGTCTTTGAATCAGATAAATTCTATGCAGCCAAAAGCTGAAAAAGACACATTCTGGGCATACATAACAAATTTTAATTATAATGTTCAGGAGAAAAATTCAGAGACTCCTACTTGTAACCCTTTTGTTCTTCCCAAAATAAAGGGAGCCTAACCATAAAGCTTGATTCATTGGGAAACAAAATACCCAGCAAGGAGCACCAGTAAAATGTGTTTATTTTTTCAATGCCATTTCAACAACCAGGAAACTTTACAGACTAATTTAAACATATTTAGCTTTATAAATAAAAGCTAGAGAAAGCCTTGTACAGTACTAAAGGTATTTCACTGTAATGAGCTACCACATATCACTTGCAAGGAGTTACCTGTGGATTTGTATCTGCTCAATGGCCAAGATTTCCCACATCAGCTTAATCAGAATATATTACAGTAAGTTCAAACCTACCCTTTGGCCTCACTGGAAGTACTGAAATCTTTGCTTGTTAAATGCCATAAATGCAAGCTTGCACAGTGTTTCATCTACTGAAAGATGGCAGTGATCCACTCCTTCTGCATTTCATCAGTGAGCTCATTCCAAGAACAGCAGTTACCAACAGTTACCAACTGAGACAGCCATAATTAAGCTTAAACATCACAACAAAGAAATACTTGAAGAATTTTCTATACACTGGACTTCATCATTGTTGAACTTACTTAATGGTGTTTTTTTGAAGTGTGTGTCTATATATTCATTTCTATAGATATCCAAGTTCCCATGTATGTAGAAATGTTACACAGCTGTACTTCCCCTAAAATGCTACTTTTACCCTTTTGCTATTAACTAAACAATTAAGAGCTGCACTGTGTATGCATAGCCAGGTTTGACAGTAGCAGAGGATACACAGGTGGCTTCCATGAGAAGCCACCAGAAGCTTCCCTCACATCCAAGAGAGCCAGTGCAGTCAGCACCAAGAAGTCCTGCTGCTGGCCAAGGCCAAGCCCATCAGTGACAGTGGCAGCACCAGTAGATAACAGGAAGGAAGGAAGAGGGGTAGGGAGATGAGGAGAATCAACACACCTGCAGCAGGAGAGAGGAAGGAGAATTCATGAGAGAGAAATGGCCCTGCAGACACCAAGGTCAGGGAAGGAGGGGCTGGAGGTGCTCCAGCCACTGGAGCAGAGACTCCCCTGCAGCCAGTGGTGATGCCCATGGCGAGGCAGCTGTGTCCCTGCAGCACACGGAGGCCAAGGTGGAGCAGAGATCCATCTGCAGCCCGTGGAGAACATCACAGCAGAGCAGATGCATGTCCAAAGGAGGCTGTGACCATGTGGGAAGCACCCCCTGAACGCAGGCTCCCAGCAGGACCCATAGAGAGAAGGGCCCATGCTGGAGCAGGTTTGTTGGCAGAACTGGTGACCGTGTGGAAGGGTCCCACAAGGGAGCAGCTTGTTCCTGAAGGACTGCATGCCATGGAAAGGGAAGGGTGTGAGGAGTCCTCCTGCTGAGGAGGGCTGACGAACTGACTGCAGTGCCCATGTCCCATTCCCAGGCACCACTGGTGTGAGGGGGAAGGAGATAGAGAAAATGACAAATACAGTTAAGCCTCAAAATGTGGGAGGTGTGGGGGGAAGGTGTTTTAAGATATCTGTTTATTTCTGATTACCATACTCTGATGTGACTGGTAATAAACTAAATCTTCCCTATAGGTTGAGTCTGTTTTGTTCATGACAGTAACCAGTGAGCAATTTCTCCAGGTCTTTATCATGATCCATGAGCCTTTCATTCTATTCTCTTCCTTCTCCAGCTGAGAAGCCAAGTGACAGAGCAGCTTTAGTGGGTACCTAGCATTCAGAGAGCATTACTCACCACAACACTGTACCCTGTAGTCAAGTCAGAACCTTAGAAAAACTGCCTATAAAATCCTGTAAAATAACATCAAAATAAATCAAAGAACTGAGCATTATTACTTTTAATAATTCTTGGTCACTTCTTTGGGGAAAACGTTCCTTCATTGTTTGCAGCTTTGAGTCTCTGGTATCCTCCTCTACATACTCCTTCACAGCTGGCTGCTGCTTCCCACCATTTGCAAGTGTCAGATGGGGCATTTCCTTTTCAGGCTGGTCATCACCATCAGATGTTTCACAGCTACAATGTACAGGGGAAGAAAAAAATAGTTAAAATTTATTTTTGCTTATGATGTTTCACTCTACCAGAACATTACTGTAAACTAACCCACCAGGATTGCACAAAATGCATTGAGATGAATTCAGTAACACTGAATCAACTTGTATGCAAAGGGATATCTCTAGTCAGGACAAAGTCAGGCATATATCAAGTACAGTGCCCTTCTTTGTACTAAACAACTTCAAGTTGGCAAAGAAAATAAGAAAGGAAGACTAGACCAGGGAAATACCATTACTTACCCTCATATTGTGCTATAAAAGGTTATTGAAAATTTAGTAACAACCACCTTAACACAGTTTAGCTACTCGAACAGTTTCAGCTACCTGAATTACATCAGACTACCCCAAGTATATTTTAAACAGCCTTGCTACTGTTTATTTGTCCAACAGATGAACAGATGTGGATTAGGTTCTTTGTAAACACTTTCCAGGTGTAGGATCAACTCTCTGTCCTAGCTCTTGGCTCACTGAGAAAGAAAATTCAAAGCTCCTTGTGCAGCATCTTAAATGTAAAAATACGGCAAGAGCCTTCCTGAAAAAGACAGTGTTCTGAATTTACTGAAAGACTGCTTATTAGTGCTAATTTGCAGGAAAAGCAACTTCTATCTATCTTTCAGGATACTGAGTTGCACAGATAAGAGTGAACCCAAGCATGGCTCTCCCATCCTCCTTCGTCCCACAGACACATAAAAATCTCCTTTTGGGAAGGCAAAATTAATTGAACCATATGGAGTTTGCCATTTAATAGGGATTTCATCATCAGAAAGGCTTGCCTGCAGGTCTCCCAATATCAATATAGGTAAAAGACTAAAAATAAACCTGTTTTTCCTCACTGTATCTTTCTTTAGTTTCAGAATCAATTCTTTTAGATTCTTGCAGTTTCAACAATCAGATTGCATTAGAATTCTGGAAAAAAATGGTTATGTGTCACATAAGACACACACACAGGTAACTGTTCATCAAAGAATCCTTTTCTCCCTTTTCAAAAGGCACACACAGCTACTAGGACTGTCTGGTGTTGCTTCTTAAGAGTAAGGAAGCAACAAAAGAGAATCCAAATTCTTCTTCAGTCCAGCAAGGCATTGAGTTCTAAGCCTCAAAACATGAATCCTACTTCCACTTAAAAATAAAAACTTAATGAAATGTCATATTAAAATCTACTGGCATTTTTCTGATCTTTTTGCCTTGATAAGGAATGTTTCTTTTAAAAAGTGCATATAAAAAAGAAAATCAATCCAAATGAAAATTGTGACACTGCAATTATCCTATCCTTTCCTATCAGAGAATAACATCAAGACACTTGTCAACGAAGACCATAAATCTTGTCCTCTGTGTATAATCATGTTCTTATCAAGCATAAAGAAACACTCATTTAACTGCTAAGCAACTCTGACCCAAAAAACCTTGGGTTAGATTCTGCTTTTTTTTCCAGACAGCAGCCCTCTGGCAGCAAAAGTCAAGGCACATTTTCTTCAGGAAAGATGTGTTTTCTACTCTAAGCTTTCTGCTTTCTGTTCTGTGTCTTGTTCGGAACGAGGGAAGCTAGGATACTCTGCAAAAGGGAAGTAAAACCCCCAAAAAACCCATAAACCCTCCAAACTAGGTAATACATGCACTAAAATGCACAATGCAGACATTCAATTGACTGATTCCATGCAAAGCCAGAATTCAGCACAAGCCCAAGCTCCTAAGCCTGGACAGATCCCAGCTAACTCCTGCCACACTCTCCATTTGTTTGTTAGCTCGACCAGAACAGCCACTTGTGCCACAGCTCCGTGGGCTCTGTACACATCAATCAGCACCTGAGCCAGCACACTGGGACCAAGTGTCAGGCACTGAGGTGCCTGGTGGACACATGGGAATACTGAGGAGCACAAGAGGATGTAGTCTTATGTTCATCAATCCCACTAGGGAGTCATCTTGCCGTCCATTTCTCACTCCCAGCAATATCAACAGTACAGGAACAGCAAGCAGTGGCTCTGCAAGTTGCATCCTGTGTGGCTTATCAGCATCAGCTCCATATGATACAAAACCACTTGAACTGCTTCCAGGTGGGATTGATCCCAGAAGCAGAGTAACTGCATTTACACAGCACTGCACACAAACCAATTTGATGCATGTAACCAGCTGGCCACCTCCTTGTCTCCTTGCACAATCTACTACTTAAATCACAGGCAGAAGCAGGAGCTCACTTGTAACTGCTAATATTTTTCTCCTTTTCAAGTAGCTGCCTTAAGTTGAAACTTTGGGGCACAAGCACTAAAAAAAGAAACAAACAACATAACATCAGGATTTCAGGTAACAGCAGCAGGAAAAATGCATTATTTCACTTCTGCTGTAAACCCCCAATAATTCCATGCTGTGTGTAGAATTGAAAACCTGACAAGAGGCAACACCTTTTAAGGCTGCAATTCCCACAAAAGTTTTCTGCCTATTAATTCAACTAGACTATCAGGAAAGCAGGTAAAGCCATCTCATTTTGCTTAGCACAAGAACATCTAGAGGGCACAATTACCATACAGACATAACTAGCAGGGGTTCCTTTAAACTGCTGCAAATGGCTGCAGATGCCTATCGACATCTTGTCTCACCTGCTTTCTCAGCACTGCCTGTTTAGTACATACAGAAGTGACACCTGCACCGTGACTCTTCCCTCCCAGCACATTCAAAAATATAAATTTCCAAACCACTTAGGAAAGAAATAGTTTTCACCATGCATAGGAAACACACCATACAACTCATAGTTAAGTTCACCTCGGGACTCATACAACTCATACACTGAAGCTCTCTTTGCTTCCCTGTCAAATACAGCTGCATATACAAAAGAAAATCAACTCCAACAGCGGAAAGAAATAGTTTTCACCATGCATAGGAAACACACCACACAACTCATAGTTAAGTTTACCTCGGGACTCATACAACATACCGAAGCTCTATTTGCTTCCCTATCAAATACAGCTGCATATACAAAAGAAATCAACTCCAACAGTTGAAAATTAGTAAAGCAAGTGTTTTATGGTTAACTTCTCAAGTAGCACTAAAAGGATTTCAGAAGGGCAAAGGCACAAATGCGTAAACGAACAAACGTCACACGTTTCAACATCATAGAACTCCTCCCTCTGAGAAAATGTTTCAGCGGGATACTTCTTCCCTGGAAAACCAGTAAAGTTTAGTTAGGGGCAGCTGAATCCCAAAGAACCCAACCTAGGCTCTGATTTTCAGTTCAGGGTTTCAACTTAGAGCGACCCCTGAGGGTGCAGAGTCAGAAACGTGGCTCAAAGCGTACCTTACGGGCGCCTCTGCCCTCGAGGCCTGGGTTTCTTTGGCAGCACGGAGGTGTCTTGGCTCCTCATCCTCGCTGTCAGACACATCGAAGAAATGCACCCCTCGCTGCCGCTTGAAGTAAGACACTTTCCTTGTTCTCTGAGCTTCGGGAGTTTCTGGGATGGTGGAACACTCTGTGCAAGACATTTCAATGGGAGAAAAAAGAGGAGACAATGATTTATGACTTCAAATATTTATTTGTACCTAGAGCAACAGGTAGCTGTGATTTTTTTCAGAGACACAACAGCCAGTTAAACAGAGCTCACTTTCTCATGCACAGAAAATTCCTGTCAGCTACATTTCTTAAAGTGGAAACTTACCTGGCAAAGGATCTTCAGCCCTCTTACACCAAAAAAATTTTATATCACAAAGTTCAAGAGAACATGTATTTTAGGTTAATAACTATTTATAAATAAACACTTTTTTAAACATAAATAAATAATGAGTAAAGTCCTCTGAACTACTTCCAGGCTGGTCAGAACACTAACAGAAACAAAAGCATATTTCTCTCTTTCCTCTATGAAGAGAGAAAAATTGATGCATAGAGCAGAGAACATTTTCTGTATGAAAGAAATATTGAGGAAAATAAATTTTAAATAACTCACTGTGGCAGCACTAAATGAAAGGAAAAGAAAAGATAAATCCTACAAGTACAAGATATTTGCTGACACAGGAACCTGCACAGGCTTTGAAAGGCAAAGGCACCAAATAAACAAAAAAACCCATGGTACCAAATGTTACAGAGTGCACTACAGAAAAAGAAGAAAACTTTAAAATGGAGCTTAATAGTGGTTAAAGGGATGGAGGTGAATGTAACTCAGTGTCTATGAGGAAACATCAACAAGAATTCAGTGACAGTTCAAAAAGGCAATCACTAAAATCTTAAGACTTCAGGTTGTTAAGAAAACTTCCCTGTCCAACCATCCAGGAGCCACTCTGGCAGCAGCACCTGAGCTGGGACCAAGACCCCTTTGCAGCTACAGATCCCACATTCACAGAGCCACACCAGGCTTCCCAGAGCACTCTCAGATGTCTAGATCCCCAATATCATTTAATCATGGTACAGAAACAAAATCACAGCTTGAGCTGGTGCCTCTGAGCAGAAACTCCAAACAAATCCTGGGCTTTTACACCCTCACAGTCTAAGTGCAGGCAAGTCTGGAGTCATCAGCTCCTGAGTGTCAGGTGCCCTGGCTGGGCCATGGGCACCTGGGACCTTTGTGCCACGGGTCAGCAGTTCCCTGCCTCCTGCCTGGGGCTGTCCCCACCCACAGCTCAACCTGCAGCCACACACTGAGCACCTGCACTGAACGGAGCCCTCAACAAGGTGACCTTAGCCACACGCAGGAACAATCCAGGATAAGGGGCAGGAGAGTCAGCCACCAACTTCTGGGAAAGCTGTGTTTTAGTCATAGTACTGTCACCAGAAGTGCTCATATAAAAAGATCTTAAATTATCATAACACAAAGAAAGGATCACGGGCATCCTCTCCCCTCTAACACACCCATCCTTTTTTAAAACGCGTGTGCTTGTGAACCAAGCACCAGTGGTGCTGCTAACTCTGGAACCACAATTTTGGCTGGAAGTAAAGGCAGTTTGTTCTGTCTTCATTCAGTAATGCAGAAACTTGCTGAGTCAAACTATTAAGACTGTAATGTAGAATCACTTTGCAAAGCTGATTTACCAGCAGACAGATGAAGCTAGAATAAATTAATCCAATAGTCAAACGCAGGAAGGACCTATATGGCAACTAATTCATTCATTAAGTGATAAAAGGCCTAGTTTTAGTTGAGTTAGCAAAATCTAAATATTTTCTATCACTTTCAAAACAAAATATAGGATTATGGTAATGAATTTTAGAAGAGGCAAAAGTCTCACTTCACAAATAGAATCATGGACAGATGAAGCTAGAATAAATTAATCTGATACTCAAATGCATGAAGGAGCTATATGGCAACTAATTAATTCATTAAGTGATAAAAGGCCTAGTTTTAGTTGAGTTATTAAAATCTAAATATCACTTTCAAAACACAATATAGGATTATGGTAAGGATTTTTAGAAGAGGCAAAAGTCTCATTTCACAAAGGAATCTTATTTTGAAAAGCCCATACACATGCAAATTTAGGAATGCCTAAAAACTATTAGTTCTGAAGCAGTAGTACACAGTTCCAAGACAGACCTCCCTGCATCCAAGACCAACATGTTGGCAGTGGAAGCCTCCTGAGCAGTACCTTCTTCTATCTGTCCATTTTAGGAAGGAGATGAGTTGTCCTTGATGCAGTTGCTTCATCTGAAAACTGATTAAGTTTTTAGATGAATACAGGAGAGGAGCAAAAGAGACCTTAGGGAACATTATGAAGTTGGGTTATCAGGGCAAAGGCTATCACAACAGAACAGAAATACAAAACTCATTAAAAATGTGATTCAATATCAGAACAGGTCTGTAAGGAAGCTGAGAATTTCACATCTATACTGAATTAACAGAACAGATCAAGGCAGTTTTCATGGATCTTTGCCTTGTAGATTAGACTAAATTTCAAACAAATTCCCCTTGAAAGCAGTGTGACACAGAAATGACAGGTACTCCTGACAACTTTGCTAAGAGGCATCCTTACTGAATTTAAAGAAAAAACACAAGGAAATTTTACAGAAATATGACAGTCTTAAAAGTAATTTTATTCTTTACAGTATAAACCTTAGACAAGATTTGCATTTAAATAAAGAGTATTTACTCTTTCCCTTAGTGATTTCTCATTTTATTTTATTTAGCAATTACTGTCCAGTCTTCATGACAGCTCCCAACTCCCATACTTACAAAATGCTGAGTTACCTGGGGTGGGGGGGAAGCATCCTCCATCTCAAAAAAAAAAAAAGAAAAACCTAGTCTTCTGCCCTTCTAACACCTATTCCACTGAACAGAGAACCCTACTAAGTGAGGGAAAGCAGAAATCACACGTGTAATAAGGAGTCCTCATATTGAGAGCAAACTGTAACCTTGTAGAGTAGAAATAGATTAAAGTTATTGCCACAATATGTAATTGTTGGAGGCAGAATTTTCTAATTACAGGCAATTCAAAAGAACTATTAAGGAATGCCTACAATCATAAGACCAGTTTTTGACTCTGAAGCCAGAAATAGGAATGCTCATAAGTATCCCTATATGCACACATAAACATCAAAACCAAAACCCAACAACAACCACCAATTTTTGCTACCATAAAAAGAGAATACACTGCCCTGTAATTCTAAACACAACCTCCTACACAAATCACACACCACACTCTGAGAAAGCCAGCTTCTCTCCCAAGTGAAAACAAAGGTAAACCCAAAGCAAAAACTGAGGCAATACATAAGAGACTTACCACATTTACTAACATTGTCCAACAAGCACTGTCAAACAGAAAGTAACTTCTGCCTAGTTTTGGCAAGCAGCATCAAGCAGATGCTGCTCAAGTCTACAAGGTTATAAGATAAATATTCCCTTTTCAAAGGAAAGTCTTTGCCATTGGCTAAAATCCACATGTCCTAATGTCCTAATCCTAATTGTCAGTATTACTCTAAGGTCATTCTTAAAGCAGCCCTTTTGAAATTATGATTACTTCAACACATCTTGCCACAAACCCTGAGAAAACATCACTTGATACTGCAGTCATTATTTCTTTCCAGAAACACTCCAAGTAGAATTACACTATGAACTGAGACATAAGCAAAAGACAGGGTTTCCTCAGATCCCAGAAAAAAAAACAACAGAACAAAAAAGAGCAGTCCTAGTGCAAGTGAGCTCTGAGCATTACAATCTCAAACTGCAGTAATTTAGGATACATATTCAAACAATACAGAGAGGATAGCAACAAAATCAGCCATCAGTAACAGGGTTATATGTTGTAGTTTAATTTCTTTTACAACTTTTACTTAAATTATTTTTGGAAGCTTAGTAAGCATGCTTTTTGAGACCTGAATAAAAGCCTCATTTTGAAATTCATGCTGGCAATTATTCTAATTTGTGCAGTTCTGGTACAGTTCTGATCCATTTTTACAGCAGCGTAGAATCTCATTCTCTTAGTACACCGAGCTATTTACATAATTAAAAACATCTAAATGAAAATTAAGATGCTTCACTGTTTCCTTAACAGATTAAGATATACAGAACTATTCAGTAAATAATACTAATTTGCATTAAAAACTGCAGTAAGCCACTCCAGTGTATTTTTCCAACTCTTTTTAGACATATCTACCATATATAATTTGGTAACTTGTCTCTAGAATTGGTTTCTATGCCTCAGTAAACGCAGTCCCATTAAAAACTGCAGTAAGCCACTCCAGTGTATTTTTCCAACTCTTTTTAGACATATCTACCATATATAATTTGGTAACTCTCTCCAGAATTGGTTTCTATGCCTCAGTAAATGCAGTCTAGAATTATTCCCTAAACCTGGCTGCAAAGTCACTGCAGGTCTCTGTAATTTTGTGTACAGACAAGTGTACAAAGATGACCAATTCTTGTGGCCATCACACCACAAATTGCTTATTAAAGCATAAGGGATGCATGTTCCACAAAAAGGAATGATAAGCATGACCTACAGACATAAATGGGGTACATAACCATCTACCAATATTAGCTTGATCTGGGAAAACAAAACTAAAGAAAATAGCTAAGAAGACATTGATGGTTCATGACACACCAGAAAACAACTGACTATATTTTTTGAAGATAGATGACATTTAGACAATCCTACACTTTGTTAGAGGTGCACTTCAGAGCACTCGATAAAACAGAAATCTGAAGAAATCTCTTGGAAATTATACTGAACTATTTGTGCTCCTGAAGGACAAAGATTTTTAAGTTCTTTTGAGATACACACAGTGGCTGCACAATACCAAAGGAAACAGAACAAAAACCCAAGCTGTTAGCTATTTAATAGCATTTTTGTTTGTACAAGTGAAATAAAGATCACTCTCCTCTTCTTTCCCCAGTTTCTTGTACCAGTATTTTGTTAATCACTTATTGTTGACCTCACATGATTCACTGAGCATTAAAGCAAGTTAATTTTGGTGAACCTGGTGCAAACTGCTTCTCATACAGAACAACTCCACAGTCTGACTTGTTGGTGCAGTTAGCAGCAGAGAGTCCACAGTGCCACAAACTCAGCTTTGGGCCTTTCCATGGCCACTCAGCAATAACAACACCACCAACAAAAAACAGCTGACTGCCTTATTTGACCCAAACCAAGAAAAATTCTGTCTTCCTGACACTAATTAGGAAACAAGGAGGACAGGCATCTGCTAATCAAATCTAGTCCTCTCTATTACATTTAAGTGCTTCATATCACGCAGACAAAATCTGAGTGCTTTATTTTTCATTAACTTCTGTAGATGTAGAAAGTGATTTCATTTCTTAAAAGGTTATTAATTCTTTCAATAGGTTACATAACACTGATGTGCAAATAAGTGGGAGAAAAAGTCACTAAAACACCTGATCTTCTTTAAACACTCAGTATCTACAAAAGATGAAGCATTATGTATATGCAGAGCACTACTAATTATATTTCAATTTTAAATGTTAATTAGTGCCCCAGTTCTACACCAGCATCTGTGTCCACGGATGCTGATTTCAGTTGGACACCTGCTGTAGTTTTGGCTGCTCATGCACTCTGCCCTGTTTCACTGTTAGCCACCACCATCTCCCACTGGTTTTCCTCACAAGCACTTAGCCTTGCACTACAAGTCTTTTAGGCTGGCCTTCACCTAAATTTTTATTACCTTGTATCTAAACAAATGCCTCTAAACTGGTGTCACATCCCTTCTCCACAGTCCTACCCCTACAGAATTTAAGGCAAGGGAAACCAGCATTTTGGAAAACAAGCACTGAAATTTGTTGGCAGTTATGGTCTAGCTACATGCTTACACTGACAAAGTCCACAGGCAGATTAAAGGAAGAAGTATAACACTAAAATAAAGTAAATCCCCAAAACAAGCAGCACCATCCATTACTGCAGAACTACATTCACAGCTCAAGAAGGGTCCCTGCACTCAGTAACTCCTCCACAGCCCAAGACAATGATTTACCACAAACAGGAAGGGAACACCTGTTCCAAAGTGCACTTCTTCAGAGTGCCCATTTTGCCATACAAGCATTACAAAGGCACATCAGAACCAGAATTAACAGCTGCTTGTTTCTTCTGCAGAGTTCTCCCCGTCACCAAAACCTTCTTCTCAAGTGGACAGGTTACTCAGTTCCAGACTGGCAACTTACATGTTTTATATGTTTTAACATATAACAAGAACACTGCTTAACATTTACTAATGCAAACACAAAAGCAATCCAATCAACTGACAACAGTCAACCTACAATAAACCAAAATTTAGGGAAGAGTAAAGATCCACCTCCTGTAATTCTGACTTGGCTCAGTTATAAAAGAGGAACTCCTCCCTGTGCATGAATGGTTCACTGTTATCACGTAGATAAGGTATTGTGAAAAACTGCCTGCACCAAGAGAAAGTCACGTGCAAAAAATGTAGCTAAACAACATCAAGAGACATTGTTGTTTCATTTTTTGAATAAATGCATAGTCAAAGTCTGTCTGATCTCTCCAATAACACCTGTAACTCAACAACTATACCACAAGTTATCCCCCTGAAAAGTTCCAAATAACCAGCAGGAGATACTGCCTGTTTCTCAAACCCCCCAGGAACAGGAAAAACATACAGGTGAATGTGATTACACAGCCAACAGCAATTTCAGTCATTACCATCAGCCAACAAATCCAAACAGGAACAGCACATCCCTGCTGTCTCAGACAAGGGAAACTGACACACAGCAACACAGTAAATTTCCTGACATTTCCATGAAAACCCCAAGCTTCTGCCACAAAAGAGGACAAATACTACAACAAAACCATCAACACAATCAGTTTCTGAGAATCAGTACCAGGTCTCTAAGCTCTTTACAAAACCAGGCCCAAGTGAAAATAAACTGTTCCCTTTCTTTTCAATTCCATCTGTGATTGCTCCATGATGCATTAGCCAAGGACTCTACTCAGAAAGTTAACTCTGCAGTGTTGCATCTATCAAACAATTAAAAATAAAAACCATTTCTTCCTTGAAAATCCTGAAATGTCAGCATAAGTATCAGTAAATAGAGTTTACAAATAGGAAAACACAACACTCTCTCAACACCTAATCTGAAACTTACTTAATAAATTAAAAAGCAAGTTATTTCAGAAGGTTAACGACCTGCCTGTAAATGCACATGTTCAATTAGAGCATGCACTGATACTTTTGTGAAAATTGTTGTGAAACGTTTGCACAGAAAAAACACATTTGTAAAACAACCAAACACCAACAACCCAAAACAACAAACACCAAAACAACAATTACTTCATTTCTAGAAATTAAGGACTTGCACGGCCCTTAAGTTGCAGGCGAACCACCGGACTCACCCGTTCTGTCTGTCACGTCCGAGGCCGGAGTGCCCGGCCGCCTGCTGTCACCCGCACCTTGCTCCTCCTCCGCTCCTCCTCTGGCAGCACCGCCAGCTGTCCCGGCGCAGGCCGCCGGCACCTGCTCCGCGCCCTTCCCCTTCCTCTCGAAGCGGAACCGGTCCAAATTGTAGAGGCTCATACTCTCAGCCTTTCTGTGGGAAGAGCCAGGAAGGGCACAGGGCCCGTCCAACACAGGCAGGAAAACGCTGGCCAAGGGACCGGCCAGCCGGCGCTCCCTCAGGAACGCGCTGCCAGGCGGCTGGGAGGCTCCTGCCTGCCCATCCATCCGCCCGCCCACCCTCTCTCCCCGTTCCCCGCGGCCCCCCGGCCTCTCCCGCCACCTACCTCCCGGCGGTCCCGGGCAGGGCGGCGGGTCCCCACGCACCGGTGTGGCTGTGGCGGCGGCGGGCCCGGGCCGGCAGCGCTGCCGGCGCGCGGCGATGACGTCACGGCCGCCCCCGCCAATCGCCCGTCCGGGCCCGAGCGCGCGGGCGAGTGCGCCTTACCCCTGAGGGGCGGCGGGGCGGGATCGGCGCGCTGCTGCGGGCTGCGGCTGCAGACACCGCACCTCCGAGTGACGTTTGTGATTCCAGAGCATCGCCGAGTTCACACCCCGCCCCCCCAGTCCCAAGTTGAAAAGTTTGGGTGGGGAGCCGCGGAAAGACCATCGTAGGAGATTTGGGACCCCAAAATACGGAGTCATGCACTCGAAGAAAGCTGGGGTTGGAAGGGTTCCTTAAAGACTCCTGGTTCCAGCCCCCCTGCCAAGGGCAGGGACAGCTTCCACTAGACCAGGCTGCTCAAAACTCAGCCAAGCTGCCCTTGAACACTTCCAGGGATGGGGCATTCACAGCTCCTCTGGGCAACCTGCTGCACTGCCGCACCAAGACCACTATAACGAATTTCTTCCAAATGTCTTAATTTAAACCTGTTCCCTTTAAGTTTGGAGCCATTCTTGCCCTTGCCCTGTCCACTTACACGCTCTTGTAATAACGAATTTCTTCCAAATGTCTTAATTTAAACCTGTTCCCTTTAAGTTTGGAGCCATTCCCCCTTGCCCTGTCCACTTACACACTCTTGTAAGAAGGCTCTCTCCATCTTTCTTGTAGGCTCCCTTCAGGTACTGGAAGACCCCAATTAGGTGTCCCCTAAGCCTTCTCTTCCACACCAAGCAATTCCAACTCTCTCAGCCTTCCCTCACAGGAGAGGTGCTCCATCACCCTGGTGACACCCAATCCACCAGGTCCATGTCCTTCCCGAGCTTTCCACCACCTTGGTGACACCCAATCCACCAGGTCCATGTCCTTCCCGTGCTGGGACCCCAGAGCTGACGCAGGGCTCCAGGTGGGGTCTCACCAGAGCAGAGCAGAGGGGCAGAATCCCCTCCCTCCCCTGCTGCCCACGCTGCTCTGGATGAGCCCAGGACACATTTGGCTTTCTGGACAGTGATTGCCAGATCACATCCAGCTCTCATCCAGCAGCACGGCCAAGTCCTTCTCAGCAGGGCTGCTGTCAATCTGTCCATCCCCCAGCCTGTATTGATACCAGGGGTTGCCCTGACCCAGGTGCAGCACTTTGCACTTGGCCTTGTCAAACTTCATGAAGTTCCCATAGACCCACTTCTCAAGCTTGTCCAGGGCCCTCTGGATGGTACTGTCGCAGGATATGTTGCATTTGAGACAGGCACAATACACAGAGGATCACAATACAATTCCAGAAGGCCTCAACCCATAGAGAGTAACATCCCACCACTGCAGAAGGCCACAAGCATCTTCCCTTCTTGTTCTTCAGCCCAGCCTTTTATCCCCTCATGTCCATGCCCTGCCCCTGTGTGCCCTCTGCTCCCTTTGGTGATGGGTCAGTGCCCCTGGGCACTCCATGGCTCATTGCTGTCAGTGCTGCTCACCTGCTGCTCACAGCTGCACCCACTGGGATGAGGATGCCCACAGCCCCACCCCAGCTACCACAAACTGTGTGTACCTACGTGGTACCCCATCCTTCAGGTGTGGATTTAGGGCAGTTTTCCGCTTTGGTTCCCTGACATGTTTCCAGCATTGTGTTGCTGTGGCAGAATAGGTGGGAAAACACCTCCTTTTGCTGTCTTGGGTCAGGGCCTGCTGCCATGCTGGGTTTCAGTGGATGTGTGGTCACAGAGCATGTGCAGCCGGGTGTGCAAAGGCACCTGAGGTTACCTGGTACTGCACAGAGAACCTTGCCAGGGCTGAAATGGTGACCTTAACTGGCAAAGAGGTACTGAAACTGCCTTTATCTCTTTAACATACCAGCCAGCCATGAAATAAAGCACTTCAAGGCCTGGCAGAAATGAATAAGCATTATACTGGTGAGCCAGGTGCAGCAGCTAATAAAGACATTCTGGAGAGATTAGGCTGACTAACAGAAAAGCAGAAAAAGAAGCCACTTACCCATCCATTGTGCCAGCTCTGTAGTTCTGGGCTCACAGGATGTTCCTTCATCCTTAAAGTCATTTGCCTTTTAAATTGCAGTAGTCAAACACCTGAAAAGCAAAAGGATTTGGAGGAAATCAAGCTTCAGTGATGATGTCTTGCCTTCACATCAAATATTAATCTACAATATGGATAATAGATTAAATTTGTTGGAAACTGCCTTCTGTTAATCCCAGATACAAATAATTGGCAATGTAAATGGAGCAGAAGAGTGATTTTGCCCCCAGAAGTGGTTGCCAAGACACAGGTGGATTTGCAGACTGCCTGGTGTCTGAACAGTGCAGTTCAGAGATCATCTGAGGTTATTCCCTGAGGTTATCCTCTGAGAAGGACTAAATTGTGCTGGAGAAGGAGTGCCTGGGCTAGACACACTGTTGACATATAAAAAGGCAAGAGATCAAGGGCTTTCATGCAGAGCAGGTCAGTGTGAAAATGGAAGAGAGTTTTGCCTGTCAGCACAAGCTCAGACTCCTACCAACTTGAAATGCCACCCACTTAAAAGGCAAGCTACCCCAAAAATGGGAATAAAGAAGCTTGTAGGTAATCAGAAGTAAAACTCGGTGTGGGTTAGAGGAGGAAAAAAGTATGGTCCATGAGGACACTTTTACTTTAGCTCAGAGAATTTGGCTCTTTCTTGGGACTTGATAACCATGGCAAAGCTCATGAGCCTCTCTGCAAAGCATTAGTACTGCTGTTAGCTCCTCTGATGTGCTTGCCTCACACTGACTTATTGCAACACATCGAGCATCTAAAGGTTAAGGACTCTGACAAGACTTTGACCACTTTTTCCATGAAGAAAGGATGACACACTGTGCATGTGACAGATGTTGAGCCAAGTTGTTTGACTGACTTAAAGGACACAATCAAACAATGCTGCTAAGTGTGCAGAGACAAATGGGCTGTGAGGCTGCAAAGCTGAACGAGTAATGTTGGAAAAGTTGAGAAGAGAAAGATGAAACCGGGGGAAGTAAGTGTAAAGGGGAGCATACACTCAGGTCAGTCTGTGTTTGTGACTCAACAAGGCAGTCAGGAACATTAGTCTTGGCGAAAAAGCAAAAAGAAAAAATCCATAAATTCCAGAACTTGGGAGAAGAAGCAAGTTCAAGATAAGAAAACAGTGAAAATTAAGGGGATTAAATAGAACACTCCAGAACATGCCAGTTTTAAAAAGTGTTTTGTTTACAGGAATTAGCATGAACCTAGAAAATGCTGCAGCAGATTACTTCAGTTTTTACAGTGCTTTGAACTTGGAAAGACTGGGTAATTGGTAGGTATTAATATTGTTAACAAGCTATTGTGAATTCCTGGCAAGCAAGGCAGGAAAAATGTCTTTTTTGAGGTGCTAATGACACTGGTTAGCTCATGCTTACTGGAGAACTGACAGATTGCTGTCTGCTATTGTTTAGAATGCTGATTTGTGAGATTTTTTTTTAAGAATGGTAGCAGAAATTTGAAAAGAATCTATTTATATACAGATTTGCTTTACATGCAACATAAGAGCTGTTACATTTGACTTGTTTTTACTTAAGACACAGTTTTGTTGCTATGCCAGTGATAGAGAAGCATACCAGATGGTATGTAGGCCTTCAGAGAACTTCATGAAGGCTTATAGATCAGTGATATATAATAATGGCCTGAACACTGAAAGAAGCAAAAGAAAACAAAAATATCATTTAAAAATTACTCATTTTGAAATTGATGCAAATTGAATTTGCATTGTTCTTAGTAGAAGGAAATTCAGTTTTAGGAGTTTGGTAGTAGAAGTTAAAACCTGATGAGATACAAAGACTCACATTCAGTGTTGCATTTTACAAATTGGCAAGGCAGTAAAGTTGTTGTTCACTTGTAAATAATCAGCCAAGACAAAACGTGTCTACAGCCATTCCTGACAAGTCTCTGTTGTTTACAATATTTTTCCTTAGATTCATGCCCTTTTTGTGCCCTGTCGTTTCATCAACTTTGTATGGAGGGAAGGTCTTCCACAGCTACCTCATGAGAACCCACTGAAGTTGTGCTGTGGTGTACAATCAACAGGGTCTGTGACAGGCAAAGCCTCACCATTGGGGCTTGCCCCCAAATCTTGTATAGGAAAATATCGCTAGAAAGTGTTTCTGCTTTGTTATCAATTGTGAGCAGCAAGACAAGTTGTCAAATGCTGGTGGGTTTGTACCTGATTCTGAATAATAATAATAAAGAAACCTAAAAAAAATTTTAAAATCTATTAAAGTGTTAAAACTAATTCAGCTGCCGCTGAAAAAAGCAACTAGAGTTGTATGTAACAGATGATGTTGCTGTAGCAACATCACCATACCTAAATAATGAATATGCAAACTATTTTTTTTGTGTGAGCTGCACAGTGATGGCAGAGTAAGGCCTCAGGTGGGAACTGTCTCTCTTAGCCAAGAGTTTTTTCCTTTTTATTGTCCATTGCATAGACAGGGTTTTTTTCCTACTCAGCAAACAATAAAGAACACCACTCTTTGGGAAAGAATAAGGGAAGAAGATGGATTTTGTAGTACAACAGGTTTTATATTGATATTGCTTTATATAAGTATCATTTTTTGTGTGAATGAAGATACTTTAAAACTGTCTGTTGTGGTTCATGTTTTCTAGGAACATGAACCATTCTACTACTCTACTACCATTGTAGACCATTTCTCCTCTTTTTTTCTCACCTGAGATTATTTTACATATATATGTGTATGAATGTATATATATGTATTTTTTTCACTTGTTAAAAAGTAAACACATTTTAGTTTATTTTTCTCTATTCTCTGAAGTAGTTAGTTGCTCTTTTTTTGAGTTTATGTCTATTTGATTAAGAAACAAGAGAAATAAAACTTGAGTGTAGAATTTCAGACATTGTTCTTGCTACCTATTTCATTCATTTGGGCAAATGCTCTCTCAGAAATCAAGCTAACCATAATCAAAGGTCTGGGTAGCTCTTAAAAGGCTGTGACTTGTCAGAAACCATGCATCCATAATACTTCTGCTGAGGATTTTTGTTTTAACTTTTAGGTGATTATTACTTGCAAGCATCTGCTGAATTGTGGATAAATCTGCCTAAGGCTGGAACACCAGTTTCATTGGAACAATAATTGAGTTTCCCGTTTCATTCAGCTCCCCCAGCACATCACCCATGCAGAGTTCACCACAGGACTGCAGGCTATCTTTAGATCCTTTAATCCGTTCATGATAACATGAATCTGCTGCCCAATTTGTCATTCCTCAACACCCCTGATTTTATGGCATCCTACATATCCTAAGCACTTTGAATCTGTATTGAGTCAGAAGATTATTCTAGAAAGGAAAGCAGTAGGTGCTGTTTATTTAGTACGTAAGGAGTTAAAAACACTTGAAAAAATGCAGCTTCATCAGAATCAGTTTTGCCTGACATGCTGAATATATGACCTTTGGAACAAAAAGAAGTGTCAGAACTCTGTGAACACGCATCATTACCAAGGATTTTGGTTTGTCATCTGCAGCTGAGACCTCCCATATTGTTTGCAAATCCCAGACAAATCACTTTTTTGCTTCAAGGAACCATTTTGAGAGGAGAATAACCTCAAAGGTGCAGGCCAAAAGGTATTTTGGTTTGTTGTATTGCACTAGTGAATCAATTGAAACAAATACATTTCCAGTGTGTGCTTCCATACTTACTTTTTGGCTTATTTCTATCAGGCTACATTGCTCTAACTCTTCTTTACTGTTGCATTTTTGATGTCCCATGGTACAGAAACTGACAGAGTAAAAATTAACAGAAAACTGATGTTCTTTGGCTCAGCATTCATATAACTGTCCCTATAATTCACCAAAACAATGTCATAGGTCTTGCATAAATAAATACACAGGAGCAAATACATATTTACAGGTTTTGTTGTTTTTTTTAAAAATTGTACTTATAAAACCAGCTATGATCCAGCTATTTTTCCCCAGTTACTTTTGAGAGAGAGAAGGGCTGAACTGGACTTCTGAAAGAGTATCTTTCAAAAACAGAATTTGGCCTTAAGAAAATAAAATTTGATCCACTAGCATGTTATGAGTGCATAAACAGTAACAGAGTTTTGTCATGTACTGTTCTGAATCTCAAAGGAGCTGGAGCAAAGCATATACACTCTTTCATGACATACATTTATGTGTTATTTTATACTGCTTTCTGTTTAATTCATGCTTTTAAATTATATACCCTCACTTTACTGCAAATAGAGTGCTAAAAGAATCCGTGCCTTCACTGGTTAAAAAAATTTATCTGATCCTAAAAATACATAGAACAGTTTTGAGGTTTTTTTAAGAAGAAAAACTCAAATCCTCCTTTGAGCTGCTTTTATACTCTCTTTGGGTTTCTTTATAAATTACTATAATTTGTTACTTCAAATCTTGATATTTAAAAGCTGGAGTAATGGTTTTTGTAAATGCACACAAAAAGATTGAGTACAAGTACACTTCCACTCCTAGGATCAGAGTTCCTTCCTTCATGCCTGTTTCTGTAATTGGAACAAATACACTTCGTTTCATTTTATTGTGCATCCAAGGAAAATAAGCCTATTCCTAAAAATATATCTTGACATTAGAGAAATGTTTTAACTTCTCATTTCCAAACTTGAAAATCTCATTAAGAAGCTATCTTCAAAGCTGTGGGACTTAAAAAGGTCACACAGGTAAATTGGGATTTACATGACATTTTTAAACTGCTATTTAATTCAACACTGTCATATTATGAAGTTTGCAAGGAAGGATTACTGTTACTAGCCTCTATTTAACTGTTTGCACACAGTAAAAGCTTCACACATTTGGGGAAAGGATGACAATTTTCTGTCCCATCTCTGTAGTGAGATTTTATATTTACTCTAAAGTCAAAGATAATTTTTAGGGCTGTGACACAACCAAGATTGAAACACTTTTAACAAGAGGGAACTATTATGCCAATAAAATGCCAAGAAGCTGTAGTCACTTAATGCACATCCACACCCTTGCCCCCCAC